GAGGTGTTAAGCTTAAAGGAGAGCTTAGTTAATGTATTTGGAGTCACAGGTTTGTTTTGAGAAAACAGCAACAAACCCAACCAACCAAAACAAAACTGAAAGAAACACAAGAGTTATGTTCTGGTCTGGTTGCAACTGAATGGGCTGCAGGGAAAAGAAAACATGTTTTTAATTCGCTGGTTACAAGTTTTAAGTCTTGAAAAGAATCTGAACCTGTAGTTTTTATTACCTCTGCTTTTTCATAACTTTATTTTAAATGGCGGATAGATGTACCTGAGTATACGTATACATACCTGTCATTCTTTACACTCCTTGAAGGAAAGAGAAAGATCTGAACAAAAAAATTCTATACAATGAGGGTGGTAAAATGCTGACACAGGTTGACCAGAGAGGTGGTGGATGCACCATCCCTGGAGACATTCAAGGCCAGGCTGGATGTGGTTCTGGGCAACGTGATCTAGTTGAAGATGTACCTGGTCATTGCAGGGGGGTTGGACTAGATGGGCTTTGAAGGTCCCTTCCAACCCAAAATATTGTATGATTCTATGAATTATACATTCTCCTCATTTGCACTCCAATGTTTTCTGCAGGTGGTGGCAAGTTCTGAGAAGACCATCTGTATCTGAAGAACTTTCTCACACTTTTGATGTTTATTAAGCATTTTACTTTTTGTATATGTCTATACTTATGTTTCTAGAACCAAAGACAGCCCTTTTCCCTTTAGCTGATCTGTATTTCATATTTTCACCTATCTCTTTCTTTTATAGTGACTTACCTACTCTTATTTCTGGAGTGTTTGTTACTTTTTATGTAACAAGCATATGTAAATTTTACTATACTAGTACAGGCTGGATTTGCTAAATAGTGTTGATCACGCTTGGAAAGGGTGTTATATAAAACTGTCTGTCTTGATATATTTCAAACTTCTTGACCAACTTCTGTTGTAGTTTCTTTCACAATATTTGTTTTTAACTGGCAATCCATATAGTTCCTTACTTTGGGGAAAAAAAATTGATGGAGCTCAACAAACTTCTGTCCATTCTAATGTTAAGAAAGTTACTTAGATACTACTTGTAGTGGTCCTAAGTCAGCCAGTCTCAGAAGAAATTGTATTGCTTAACGAAGAGTTCATTATTGCAGGAGGTATTTGCAAAGCCTCAGCTGCTGTATATAAACTGCATATGCAAGTTACTCTAGTGGGTGCGTACAGTAGGATCACAGAATGGTTTGGATTGGAAGGGACCTTAAAGATCATTTAGTTCCAAACCCCCTGCCATGGGCAGGGACACCTTCCACTAGATCAGGTAGTTCAGAGACCTGTCCAACCTGACCTTGAGCACTGACAGGGCTGGGGCAGCCACAGCTTCTCTGAGCAAGCTGTGCCAGGTTTTCACCACCCTCATCATAAAAGATTTCCCCCTTATGTCCAGTCTAAATCTACACTCTTAGTTTAAAGCCATTGTCCTCTGAACAAGGATTTTATTCAGGATACAAGGCTACAGGCCTTGGTGAAAAGTCTTTCTCTTCCTTTTTCATAAGTTCCCCGTATCTACTTAATGGCTGCTGTAAGGTCTCCCTGAAGTCTTCTCATCTCCAGACTGAACAAGCCCAACTCTCTTAGCCTTCCCACATAGGGGAGGTGCTCCACCCCTCTGACCATTTTCTGTGGCCCTACTCTGTACTCCAACAGGTCCATGTCTATCTTGTACTGGTGACTCCAGGGTTGAATGCAATATTCCAGGTGAGGTCTCTCCAGAATAGTGGGAGAATTCCCTCCTTGACCTGCTGGCCATGCTTGTTTCTATGCATCCCAGGATGTGGTTGGCTTTTTAAGCTGCAAGTGCGTGTTACTGGCTCACATCTAATTTTTCATGCATCAGTATCCCCAAGTTCTTTTCTGCAGGGCTGCTCTCAATCCATCCATCCCCCAGTCTGCAGTCATAATCCAGGTGCAGGATCTTGCATTTGGCCTTGCTGAACTTCATGACGTGATCTGCCAAAACAGCTGCTGGTTCTTGCTTCACCTTATGTGAGGGGGTATAGGGGTTGTCTTTTTCTGCAGAACTGATGATATCCTGCTAAAGAAGTGATAGCATTGTAATCTTCACCCATGCCTCAGATGAAAGTGTTTCTGATGTGAAAGTGTAAGACGTTACTCAGGCAACTTTAACTGTTATATGTCCATAATTTTTATCATTTGTGTACCTCTACAGAAACATACAGGATTCAAATGCCCTTGGTGATCTTTAAGACAGTGGGATTCCTTTCACTCTGTAGTGTGATATAAGTGTTTTTTTTCCAGGGTTATGCAGAATATGTGTAAACTGTATAGAAACTGGTATAAAATGCCATGGGATGTGAACTTGCAGCCAGGACATGCTTCCAAATACTGTTTTATTTATAGAATCGTAGAATAGTTAGGGTTGGAAAGGACCTTAAGATCATTGAGTTCCAACCCCCTGCCATGGGCAGGGGCACCTCACACTAAACCGTATCACCCAGGGCTTTGCCCAGCCTGGCCTTGAACGCCGCCAGGGATGGAGCATTCACAACCTTCCTGGGCAACCTATTCCAGTGCCTCACCACCCTAACAGGAAAGAATTTCCTCCTTATATCCAATCTAAACTTCCCCTGTTTAAGTTTTAACCCATTACCCCTTGTCCTATCACTACAGTCCCTAATGAATCCCTCCCCAGCATCGCTACAGGCCCCCTTCAGATACTGGAAGGCTGCTATGAGGTCTCCACGCAGCCTTCTCTTCTCCAGGCTGAACAGCCCCAACTTTCTCAGCCTATCTTCATACAGGAGGTGCTCCAGTCCCCTGATCATCCTCGTGACCCTCCTCTGGACTTGTTCCAACAGTTCCATGTCCTTTTTATGTTATCTTTGGCCAGTGCTATTTTATGTATACTCTTGAGGAGTCATTAACTATGGATGTAATATTAGCCTTTTGTTTGTTCAGGATTGGGTTACTGTTTGCTTAAAAGTCTGTTGAGGAAACAAAGTTGTGACTTTTTCAAATTGGTTTTATTCATCATTTGGTCTAATGGTGTCTGTAGGTTTGCTTGTCCATACCTTGTCAAGAATTTGCCAGCTGGGATTGTTAGATTAGCTTCTGTCAAGTGTCAGGTATTTGCTAGTTTGGTATACCTGAAGCATCTACAATGTTTTGTTTGGGGTTTTTTGGTGCAAAGTGCTCTATGAAGTATTGATATTTTCCATTGCAAGGAGTTTAATACTGCAGACTTGCTAAACCAGCTCCTGGCAGTGAAAACAAGCCACAGTACAGTGTTAAAGAGCACCATTACTTTTACCCCATCCCTCCCTCCCCCCCCCAATACAAATCAGTAATACCTGAAGGGTAAACCTTGGGCATTGATCAAATTATGAAGTGGAAAGGCACCTACACTGCTTCCTGCTCTGTACTTGGAGGCAGTGTGAGCATTATGGGTACAGCTTCTATGCTCTCATCCTACCATAGGCTTGATTGGGAAGATAGAAGAATGTATGAGTGAATGATGATTTATTTTGGGGAACAGGGAAAAGCATCTGTGGGTGAGCTGATACAGCTGAGGTGTGCAAACACTTAAGTAATTCATGTAATTCTGAGATTGTCTCAGCAGACATCTTTTGAGTTCCTGGGGATGTGACTTACAGTGCAGTTCTGTGTGCATTTTAAACCACACTGCTGCTAAAAGGAGCATTACTGCTGAAAGGAACTGCCCGTCTTTCTCTCTTCAGTCTGTACCTTTTCCCTTTTGCCACCAAAAGTATTCATACAGCTATGCAGTGAACTGGACTGAGCAACTGATTGTGTGGAATCAACATCAACTTCTCCACAACTCAGGTTTGACCCACACCAGAGTGTAAAAATGAGAGAGGGATGCAAGGATGGCTTTTATGCTGGTGTAGGATGTTTGAAACTACAGAGTTCAACTTCTGTCCTTCATCTCACTGGAATATGGTTGTCATACCAAAAATGTAAAGCTCCTATACTGTTTGTTATGCAGGTTGTAATTAGTTAATTCTGAGTGACAGGATTGCATGCTGTTCTCATGTTTATTTAATGCCATGGTTGAGAACCTACTTCTGCAAATCCTGCCTTTCTCTTTGGATGGGGGAGGTATTACTTTGTTTGTTACCTCATGTTTGGTGTTTTGGGCAAATCTTTGATAGTCTGCAGCCTGCGTGCAGCCTGATCTCTGGTCAGTGTGGTCCAAGAAGGAATGTATAGTTTGGTGTAGTGCCAGGCAGAAAAGCCAATACAAGATGTGGAGTTCAAAATAAGAGTGTTCTCACAAATTCTTTCACTGATAACATGCATCTAAATGGCCACCGTGTTCTAAATTCTAGAAAACAGGTGTAATTGAGAGTGTTTAAGGTATGAGTACAGTGGATATTTTAATGGGGGGAGGGCTCAAATACTTCAGATTATTTATAAACGATGAATGGTTCTTTTTGTTTAAAGACTGTGCTACTACTCATTCTCCCTTACAGGCTGCCTTAATCAGTTGTATAAAACATCATTTATAAAGGCTTATGTTAGTTAAAAGAACCAAAGCTCCAGAATCCTAGTTGATGTGTTTAGATACCTGTCAGTACAAAAACTTTGTAAGATTTGCAATGCTGGAAAACACAAAATGATGTTGATTTGTCTGCTATTGGACTCCTCAGCTTTTACTGTGTCTGTAGAGTGACAGCCAGTTGAGAGACCTAGGACAGCTTATTTTGATGCTGCAAACAGGAGGGGAAAAAAGAAGTCCTCAGTTCATTTGAGATGTGAGAAAAGCTGAGATCACAGCAGATGAGCAAACTTAATCATACTCCAAATTTTTTTCATTCTCTGCGAAGTTAAATGATACCTCATGACTCAACACTAAATTTTATTAGTGAAGTATGGTAAAAAAATCTATTACTGAGTTCAGTTTAAAACTTGCCTTTAATGCTGAAGTTAAAATGTTTTCTTGCATGCAGTTCTAATTAACTCTTCTTGTTCACAGATAACTACTCTTATTAATCATAAGGATAAGCCAAAGCGTTCAGACAAGACTCTGCAAGCAATTCAACGAGTGGGCCAAGCAGTTAACCTGGCAGTTGGGAGATTTGTTACAGTAGGTGAAGCTATAGCCAATGAAAATCATGAATTGAAAGAGGAAATGAGTATTGCTTGCATCGAGGCAAGGAGAGCAGGTATGTAGTTATTCATGAAATTGTGCTCGTGCCATTTTTGGCACTCTATTTTTAGTGTCAGGAATAATGTAAGAACTTTATTAGCTGATTGCTTAACAGTCTTCTGCTGGTGCATTCAAGGGCTGATCTGTCACCTTATTTTGTCACTTAAATTGCTGTCATCTCACACACAGGGAATGGAATTGTGTGTTTGCTTTGATTCTCATAGGATCTTTTGCCACAAGGAATTACCTGACTGCTCTTTGTTTATGTTGTGACTACAAAGAGCAAGCAGAGTGTTGAGAATACAGCTTTAGAGTTTATTGCTCTCAAGCTACAACAGTGGAGTAGTTAAAGTAATTTGAGTGTTACACTTTTGAGGTCACTGTGTTCTAGATCTGAAGGTCTGAATGAAGGTCAGTGTCAACCCATATTTCATCAAGACTCAGTAAGATGACTCACATCAGTCATCTGATGACTCCCCTCAGTAGAATGAAAATGATATTGTATTTTTGCTCAATTCAACTTTTCTTGCAAACTTGCCGTGTATGTATATTGAATGTGAAGTATGGAGGTTGAGTTGCCAGCTGTCACCCTCCTCCCCTCAGAAGCCTTTGTCTAGGTGAATAGTTTCTGTAGTGGATTACATTCTCTGACATTGTAAAAAAATATTTATGTCATGCTAGAAACTACTTTCCTAGATATTAAGTACTGTTGTTTGCATGGTATTTCAATGGCTCTTAGTAAATGCACATTTCCCATCTGTAGTGCAGCCTTAAAGAAGATGACATCTAGAAGACTGTTCCTTTTGTTGTTAGTGGTGGTGGTGGTGTTTTGTTTTTGGTGGGTTTTTTTTCCTACAAATACCTATGGATCATGGGAAATCTTCCTTGAAGCTTTCCCTGTTTAAGCAGGTGGACACGCCTGCAGGTGTGACAGACTTTCTGCTTACTGTGGCTTCAAGGAGGCAATCTGGAGCTTCTGGATGTAGAGACAAATAAATGACTTCTCAACACAGAAGCATTGCTTGCAGAAGGAGTAGTACTCTACTCCAAGACATGGGTTACTGCACTTAAAGTTGATCTGCTAAGTTTAACAGGGGACTTGGCTTTTAAATAACCTCAGAAGCCTGAGAAATGTGCTGGTATATTTCTTGCTGAATCACTGTGCTGGCCTCAGACTTTGGGGATGCAGTTCATACTATTTTTGTGATTAAAAAACAAACTTAGAAGTTAGGCAAGTTACTGTAAGAAGACCTCTGAAAATCCCCTAACAACGACCCATGATGTCTAGAAACATGCTGCTGCTGAATGGTGTTTTTTGTGATTTGAAGGACTGTCCTAGATAAACTTCAGACTGAAAATTCATGGTTGCACCAGTAAACTTGGCTGCAAACAGAAATATCTTAATTTGAAAACATTCCATTTGTTAGGTGAAGCATGTGTTTTCTCTTCAGAGATCCAAGCAAAATGCCGACAAGCCAAAGTTTACATTGATAATCTCAGCTGCTGAAAGAGCTGTGCAGTCTGGATTTCTATTTCTTGTCTTGCTAGTTAGTTACCCTGTGGCCGAGTGCTTTTTCTCTCTGTCACCATATCTTAGAGGAACTCAGAGCCTAAAATAGTCTGTAGTATTTTTCTCTCACCAAATAGTTATACTTTTTTACACTGCAAGTTTTATTTCCTGTTATGCAGTAATGTGCCTCAGTCTAGAAGAGTCAAGGTATAGGCTGTTTAATTTCCTGGCAAGCCTCACATTTACCTTGGCATGGGTCAGTTATTCTCTCTGAGCTATCTACTTGAAAGCTAACTGATGACTTACATGAGAAATTCAGTATATCAAGTGTTTTCTGATCGTTTTAGTTTGCTGTGGGTCTTATTTGCATGTGCCAGTATTATCTCTGTGCACTGTGACGTGTTGGACAAGGTAAGACAGTCCTTTGTGCAGTTAAATTCTTAGGGATAACTGTCCTCTGAATTCAGTCTCTGAATGCAGTTGCTCAGGTCCCTTTTGAATAACTTTGGTGCTCCCAAGCAAGCCAGTAAAAATCTCCTGGCCAATTATAGCTAAGAGTATTGACTTGTGTAAAACAATTCAGTGTCCTGGTGGCCTGGGCAGCAGAAAGCCCTTGCTGCTTAGGTCAGACAATGTTACAAGAATCTTTATGCTTTTATGATTTTTATTTTTTATTTATTTTTTAGCAAATAAACTAGATAGTGCTTCTAGAAATAAAGGGGCACTTTGTTAGGTGTAAAAGATAGATTTCAACACTAAAGGAATTAGAACACTAAGCATCTCAGTTGCTAAGTAGGAAGCCTGTAAATCAATTGCATATCATGCAGAGGCTTTGAAGGATGACAGATGTTATATCTGTCTCTTGTGAAAGGGTGTAATCAGTGATCTGAAGTGTTTCAGACTTGTTATGACTATTTCCTTGTAATAAAGCTTGTAATTTCATTGACTCAAAATAGAATCATAAAACACTGCAGAGGGTCATGTAGCAGATTTTGCCTAATGTTAGTCTTGCAGTATGTCAGTGTTTACGGTGTCAGTATAGGAGTGGAATGTAACTCAAAGAAGCACATTTTTTGGATTTTCTTTTTTTCCTCCCAGAACTAGGGAAAGCTGGTTAATTTAAAAGAGAAAACACATGTCAGGAATGAATTAGTGTCATAACATTTGCAGTATTCTCTGCCAGTTGACTACATAGTCCTAAAGAAAGATATGGAGTAAAATGCTTTATCTTCCTGGACAGAGGACTAAATTAAGGAGGTTGAAAACCAGCAATTTAAACTGGATAAATAGAGCCACAAAATAACTTAGGTTTGAAGGGACATTTAACCCCAAGAATGAAGAGCATGCAATCTCTTGTACACCTTTTACAGTGTTTGACCACCCTTACAGTGGCAGAAATATTTTCTTGTATTTTGTTCATTGCTTTTTTTCCAGTCACCATGCATCTCTGGGATCAGTCTGTCTTCTCCATACTTGCCCATTAGGTAAGCAGTTGTAGATCAAAGTAAACTGCTATTGGCCTTCTCTTCTTGAGGTAAAACAAACCTGCTTCCTTCAACCTCACCACTTACATCGCATGCTCCCCCCTATGCTAGTGTTCTCCCTGGTACAGAGGAGCCCAGAGCTAGACATGATACTCCAGCTGCTCTCTCCCAAATGACAAACAGAAGAGAAGAATCACTTCTGCAGCCTGCCAGTTACACCCCTACTAACAGCCCAGCATGCAGCGGGCCATCATTGCTGTCTCCAGGAGTTCAACCCTTTGTCCACTGAGACCACTATATCTTTCCCTGCAAAGGTTCTCTGTAGACAGCTGATCCCAGCCTGTACTGTTGTGTGATGCTATCCTGGCCCAGATGCAGGGCTTGGTTGGACTTGGTTTGGACAACTGCCTTTGTTGGACTTCACAAGCTTCCTGTCAGGTCATTTTTCCAGCTTCCTATCCCCCTGTTTAGCAGCCCTCTCCTCCAGCTTATCAGACATTCCCCCAGTTTTGTATTGTTCACGTATTTGCTGAGCATGCTAGCCCGTCACCCAGGGAACAGTTTTCATGCCCTGTATCGGTCCTCGAGGGGCACCACTGGATGCCCTGTATCTGTCCCCAAGGGACCCTGCTGGTAATTGACTGCCTTTTGGTCTTTGTACCACTTATTACGGTCCTCTATTCCGACGGTCAGGTCCATTTCATATCCACCTTATTGTTTACCTGTTCAGTCCATATCTCACAATTTAGTTGTAAGGACATTAAGGGAGATCATGTTGGAAGATTTGCTGAAGTTGAGGTACATGGCATCCATTATTTCCTTATCTAGAGATGATGTCATGTCATCATATAAAACATTCAGATTGATAAGAGACTATTCACCCTCACAGGTCTGTGATGGTTTTTCCCAATTGCCTTTTTCTTCTGTATGTGATAATGGCTTCTAAGATGATTTTAATAATACTACTGGAAACTGTGAGGCTGACTAGCCCAAAATTGCCTGAATTTTTCTTGTTGCTCTTCTTGAAGGTGGGTCTGACAGTTGCCTTTCTAGTATTAGAAATTTGTCTTAATTGCCACAATATTCCAGACATGATAGCAGAATTACAGTGATCTGCTCCTTTGGCACTCTTGGATGCGTCCTGTGGATGTAACTGGCTTAAATAGTCCCTAGCTTAGTCTTTTCGCTCTAACAGGTATTGTTCCTTATGGTTTACTCCAGTGGCACCATTCCTGTTCCTGCAGTTGCAGATCTGCAGGCAGAGAAGGAAGCCTTTGTTATGTTGTCAGAAATCTCAAGTTTCTAGGGCTGTCTGGAGCTTTTGACAGGCAGATATGGTAGCTCTTTCTATGTTCTCTGATTACTCTTTGTATGACTAGATGCTTCACCTGTGACTTGATAATTCATCTTCAAGAAGGTAAATCTTAGAGCATAAGGAATGGGGTAATGATGCTATGTATCCTTCCCTTCCTTGGGTTATCATATTTGCGTATTTATACTAGTGAGACCCCCTGAGTATTTGTGGCAAGGTTTTTGTGACCTGGCCTGATCCTAGCACAAGTGCTGGAAATTCTTTGCCACAGTGCAGTAACTGTTCGGACAATTTAGGAGCTCAAGGGATTACAGTTGTCAGACACAAAGCTATCCGTAAACACTATGAAGTGTGGAGCTTTGTGGTTTGAAGGGCTGTCAGGCCTTTCTTGTTCCATAGTGTTTGTGTGTGGCATTTCCGGAGTAATAACGCACCCTCAGGTTCTTCGTAGGGAGCCGCAGGCTTTACCAGGCTTTAGGATTATTTTGTCTGCTTAGGTGGATTACCGTAGTTGAGGTTTTGAAGTTGAGTCACAGGGGACTCAATCAGATGTCCTAGATTTTATCTTCAGGGGTGATCCACAAGTTAGTTGTGGGCTGATCATCTTGTCTTGCATGCTAACAAATAGCATGTCTCAGAGCTTGCCTTAGTTCAGTCTTCTAGCACTCCTCCTGTGGTTATTGAGTAGGAAACTGCTCTATGCCTTTCCTCTGTTGCACTGTTATGTAGGGTACTCCAGAAGATTTAATGGAATTAGAGCCTTTGTTTTTTATCAGACAAGGAGATCCATTGACTTCAGTGCATTGTAGATATTTTAACCACTTAAAAAATAAAAGGGATCAAATAGGCCGATTTAACTATTATCACTTTAAATGCTGATAAGATAAAAAGATGCTTAGGAGCTGAGAATTGGTGCTTCCTCGCCTTTTTTTTCTCTCCTGTCTCTGACAACATACTGTTTGGTGGTCCTCTTATGAACATAAATGCAGTAATCTCTCCCTATTATGCTTCAGTCCTATAAATTATAAAGTTACTAGTTTTAATCTCTTTGTTCTTCTTGCCTGAAGACTTCTGTAGGAATAGGAAATCCATAAATTATGGGAATACTATCTGAAATTCCAAAAGCAGAGGGGAATTTGTAGTTTTTCCTTGCTGCATCCCACTCTGTGGGTTGATGCTGCATTGCCACTGATCTGACTTTTGCTATTAAAAGTATGAAAGATACCTCCCATTGAAAGTTTTCTCCCTCCACACTCTTCAGTTCCATCCCCTCCACCTCAAATATGTAGACTACTGTAAGAAAATTAGTGTGTGTTACAGATGGAACAATGAAGCAGTACTGAACAACGGCCCATATTTAAATATGGAGAGGGTGCCACCAACAGTCAGTAGAAGGAAGTGAAGTAAAATATAAGTCGTAGGTAGCTCTGAAATTGTTTTAACCATCAAAAGTAAAAGCTAAGAATGCTTAATGGCCCAGTATCTCTTCTTGTAAGTATCAAATGCTAATTATTTCTTTTGTTCCCTCTAGGTGAAACCATCGCACAGCTTACGGATGTGGCAAGCCTGGATCACCCAGAATCTGATAGTCACATAACAATCTTTACAGACAAAACGGGTGTGGTAAAAGCTGCAAGGCTGTTGCTGTCTTCTGTCACAAAGGTGCTGGTGTTAGCAGACAGAATTGTTATTAAGCAAATTATAACTTCCAGAAACAAGGTATTTGTAGCTTCTTTTTTGTTTTGTTTAACTGATACCTGCCGTCAATGCTAAAGTGTGGTGGTAAATGACATGGTATTTTCATTACATCTTCAGGGAAAATGCAAAATAAAGAGGTAAAAGTGAATGCCTTGCGCATGTTCACCTACCAGATACCTGAAAGGGGATGGTATAAGCCAGGATGAATAAAATAACAGTTTTCAGTGACTTCATGCATTTAGTGTGACCTCTTGCTCTGTTGACTTAGCATGCTGCAGAAGATGCTATGTTACTGCTTATTTAACTTTGTTTGCTGTGAGGTGGAAAGTATGTCTGTCAGTAAAATGCCAATAAAAGCTTCTATTTGCTAAGGACAGGATGTTTGTATTGTCAGGATCAAGACAAGGAGAGCATTATGAATGTGTCTTAAGGCAAGAAGCTGTGAGCAATGCTGGTGAAACTCTGTGCTAGTGAAGTGAGGTTTACACATGAAAAGTTTTTTGTGCTGTTTAACATGTCTTGAAATTACTTAGTTGATTTAAATAATGTATGAAGGTCCATTTAACCTCAAGTGTAATACATTTCATGTACTGCACTGTCTTGCCTGTAGGGTATTCTTTCTTTTTTGCTCCTCTGATGTACTAAAACAAAAATAGAAAAACCTCATATTTGAAAAATGAGAGCCTGATAGAGCCTGAGTTTTTCCATTAAGATTCAACTCATTATCCAGAGCAGAGCCCCTGTTTCCTCCACTGACTCCTTTTGTCATCTCTCTTAGTCACAGTTTGCTTTCCAGACATGCTGGTCTCTATTTTGCAGCTTCTAGATCCAGGACACTCAAGTTACTGAGTCCAGTATTCAGAAAGCATGGTAATACCTGCTTCAGTCTGACTTTAGACTTAGCAGCAGTGATTTGCTGTCTTAGTGCTCTTCTCCCAGTGGTAGGTAGGTGAAGGTGGCCACAGTTTTATCGATATTAATTTGCTGAAGTTACTTGCAGCTTTGGTCTTTTCTTGCACTGGAGGCCAGAATGGTGCATTTAATACCTTTTGCTGCCTTGTATGAGCTTTTCTTCTGCCATCACCTGCAGCCAGGCAGTGATTGGAGTTAATTTACCGTTCCAAAAGTGCTAGCACAGATTTAGGCTACAGAGCAACTGTGCAAATGCTTGTACCGTGCATGAAAGAATAAGGAGAGATAAATCCTTTCAGCAGCAGGGCATAGTTTATGATAGTCTTAAATATATATGAAACTATCATCATATATATAGTGGTACGAATATAGTAAGGATAGGTGCAAGATTTAATTTTGAAGGTATTTAAAATGAAGTCTCATATTCCAGAGTAAGTGTGTCTCACTCTGATTGCCAAAGTCACCCTAGTCTTAGTGGTCTTTTGGGATTTACTGAATTCTTCTTTCTACACATAGTCTGTGTGTTTCAGAATGTTTGCTTCCGTTTATGGTGCCAGTAGAACAATTCACGTCTCTAGTACTAAAATTAAACAAATGATGGTGTCTTATACAGGCACACTGATATTTGTAGAGTGCACTCCTGAGAAGTGTGTCAGATACAGGTATAATGGATAGCAAAGCAGTTCTTCCTGTAAGAAATACTGTGGTAGAGGGACGATGTGGGCAGGGTCTTAAGAAGTCCACACAGATACTGAGAGACAGTGTAGTATAATACGGTCTAGGTGATGAAAAGGCAGGAAGAGGATCATCAGTACTGCCAGCTGGAGCAGACACTGGCTTCTTGGAGTGGGGCACTGTTCCAGAGGATCTCATCCACGTTTTCATTTGAGAGACTGAATCATAGAAAGGTTGTGGTTGGAGAGAACCTCAAGATCATGTAGTTTGAGCCACCCTGCCATAGGCAGGGACACCTCACACTAACCCATGTCACCCAAGGCTCTGTCCAGCCTGGCCTTGAACACTGCCAGGGATGGAGCATTCACAACTTCCTTGGGCAACCCATTCCAGCGCTTCACCACCCTCACAGTAAAGAACTTCTTCATTGTGTCTAACTTGAACTCCCTCTGTTTAAGTTAAAACCCATAGCCCACTATCCCTTGTCCTATCACTACAGTCCCTGATGAAGAGTCCCTCTCCAGCATCTTTGTAGGCTCCCTTTAGAATGCCCAACTTTCAGTGCCAGTTTTCTTGCAGCCTCTTTCGGAACACCTTAATTTTCATTATCATCATCATCTTCCTCATATGAATCAAGAACAGTAAAGACAAGCAAGGGCAAAGGTCAGAAAAACAGCTTATTAGCTGGATGCCCAAGCTCATAGACTGATGAAGTGATTGAGATCTTCTGGAATGGTGTTTTGCTCGAGAACCCAACCTGCAATTGATAAGCCTAATGATCCTATTCCTGTTTCTGCATCCTCTGCACCATATATACTATCCCTGTGTTCTTAGACTGTGTGCATTTCTTAAGTTCCTGTCCACGTCTTTCCTACCTTACAAAATCTGTTTCACTGTCCATCAAACTTAGTCACTGCATCAGTGAGCTTAAAGTCTTGCTCTGCTTACTGTCATCAGTCAGGAGTGTCAGAACAATGAACAGGGAAGTGACAGGTAGGGGGGTTGTTGCTGCACCATGTGGATTGGATCAAAATATGAATATGCCCTGAAGTGATGTCAGCCTACAACCACTGTCTGAAAGGTGATGTTCATAGTGCCGCAGTAGCTGTGTAATACCAAGTTCTAATTCAGCTATTAATAGGAACTTAAAGCCTTTTCTGATATACATTTTTAACCTTGTATTTAAAAACGTGACAACATTTTTAATTACTGTCTCTGTGTTTCATGTTGAAGAAGGTTTTAAATGAAAAATTATGAAGGCATAACAGGAATTTTGGGTTATAACAGCATCTTGAATAAGCTTTAGACAAATTTAGAGCTGTCTGTATGGTTTCTCCGTGATTGTAGTTTCTTGGAGTGTCAGCTCTGCCTGAAATGTCTAGAATTGTTAGCTGTAATGAAAGTGCGTGTGCTTTCACTGAAATTCTTGCTTGACAAGAGATTTGTCCTGACAGAAACACTTGCTCTAGGGTAACTGCAAGAAAGCTGCTTGCAACCAAGACCATACTCCTGAAGTACTGTACTTGCTTAAGCCAAGAATTATTGAGCATAATTACTATAATTTTTTAATCTAATAATTTTAGAAGATAAAGTTGGACCTTCATTTGTATGTTTTTTTCTTTCTGCACGTTCACTTTTCTACATCCTCACTTTCCCAGTACTGTGGTTCTCTGCTTCTGCCCGTCTCATGGAAGCCTTTGTGGAACTGGCTGCATAACATCAGACACTGGATTACTGCAGTGTAATGTTTGTTGTGTGATAAAACAGTCAGTTCCACAGTACTCGCAGGATTTAGTGGAGCATTTGCTTTACATAGATAATAACTATGAGGTTGAGCAGCTGCTGTATTACAAAATAGTAGGTGCTTCTAAGAGGGTTTGCCTGGGTTGCAGGGAAGAGGTATTTTATCCTAATCAGGTATGTAGAATGTTTTTTTTATTTTGGGGAGGAAGGGAAGAGAGATACTTTTGGCATAGGAAAGGAAAAGTAAATTGAAGTTTCTCCCTTTCAAGTAGTTTATTAAATTTTCATGTGGTATCTTGTTTATCTCCAGTCTGAAACACAATAAAAAACCTGTTTTGACTGTCTTCCCTGCTGAAGATGGGTAGTGGGTTTAAGAGATTGCTTTGGGATTAGCAGTTATACCTCTAATTTGAAAAGCCCCAATGTTAATCTCTGTTATAAATCATACTGCAGTGACTTCAGCAGGATAGCTTCAGTAATTGGTAAGCTATATGATAATTTTTGCTGAAAGTTTTTTTCTAAAAATGCTGATTTTTGCATACTTTTAGGTATCTCAAGTAACAGCTTGATACAACCTGGGTACATTTAGTTCTTTGTTTTACATAGAGCTAATAAAGATCTTCAGAGTTTAGAGTAACTTGTTATAGAAAGTATAAAACTATATCTTAAATAATTTCTAAGTTTTCTTTTTTCTTTTATACAATGCTGTTGCACTTTTTGTAATGCATGCAGCCATTAAAACACTTGTTTGACTGTAGTTCTAGACTTATGCCTTGCAATTGAACTGTGAGAGTTACAACGTAGGGGTATAATCTGTATATTTATAATGTTAATGACGATAACATTTTTCCTAAACCTGGAAACTGAATCCTGCAATACTGTTACTCCTTATACTGGAAAGAGTGAGGAATGTGGTTTTTGCAGTTTGGCAACAAATTACTCATTTTGAGTGAAGCATGATTGTTAATCTAGACTTGATTTCTAGCTGTTGAGTTATGAATGTATATAAAATCTGTACATTTTAAACAATAAGATTTAGAAGTGTCTGCAAATAATGTTTCTAGTTTAGTAATAATGTTTTCTGTTTAGTATCTTGATAATCTATAGTATTTTCCCTTATCTTGCAGGTTCTTGCAACAATGGAACAACTAGAAAAAGTCAGTAGTTTCCAGGAGTTTGTACAAATATTCAGCCAGTTTGGAAATGAAATGGTAGAGTTTGCCCATTTAACTGGAGATCGGCAAAATGTGAGTATTAATGACAAGCTGTGAGAGATGTTGTAAGGCATCGCTTTCATCTGATGATTCACTGGAAGGTTTGGGTTTTTGTAGGATGATTAATAAAAAAACTGCTGAAGTCCTACCTCTGAAGCCTAACTTCTCCTTCAGGTAGAGGAAGGAGGTCTTTTGATTTTTAAAGCTCAGCCTGAGAAATGTCACTGCATTGTTTGATCTATGTATATTCCAGGAGCCTGGGTGTGTGTTACTTGAGATGTTCTTTTAGCTTCAGTCACTATCTTTTGGCTCTAGCTTTTATGGCTTATTACTTCGGTGGAGAATTTTTCTGTTCTTAACTTGACAAACATTTGATGTTTGCTCACAGTGAAGGGATTTGAAGGCAGAGTAATTATTTTAGAAAACTCCAGAAGAGAAATCTTCACATCCTAATAGAGCATATACAGGGTTTGCGTTGGGGTTTGTTTGTTGGTGGTTTATTATTATTTTTGAATATTTTTCTACATTTAGGTCAAAACTTCCTTAAGTCAGGGTAATGGCTTTTTTACTTCTCTCATGCAGCTACTTTTTCAAGAATCTTTCATTCTTTCAGAAAGCTTTTTGCTGCTCCTTCTGAGTAAATAAAAGGTTTGCTGGGGCCTAAGGCTCGTGCTGTGAGCTCTAGTTGCTTCCCCTTGGCAATGAAATCACCCAGTCAGAGCTGAACCAGGGTCTGGTACAGATATGCAGGGTCCCTCATATCCAGCAGAATTCAGAATTTAATTTGTATAAGCAATTGGCCAACCTCATGCATCTCCTTTTACTGTTGATGTGTTCCAAGTCTGTTGAAGTACATGCTCAGTATCAAAGAATAGATTCTGAAAAGCTACATTTAATTAAAGGAAAGACCTACCTGGAAATGAACTGTCTTTATTTTTCCCTGAAATGTTCATAGCAGCTCTTCCTTGGAAAGAGAAAGGTGCATTGCCAGTAAGTTAACAATCTTTTGAAGGGTCTCTGTCCTTTGGCTCTCCTGTCCTTGCCCACTTGTTTCTTTTGGAAAGAGTGTTTCATTAGTGTTTTTTAAATTGTGTCAGGACTTGATATGCTTGCTTACAGGGTGTAGACTGCTACGTGGCACTGTTAGTTTTACTTGGGGTATTTTTCCTTAGTATAATTAATAATAAGTATGCTAGAAACTCTTGGGTGTAGTCAGATTTATCAGAATGTAATATCAGAATTTCAGAAATCAGCTTTTTGGGGTGGGTTGTTTGTTTTGGTTGTAGCTTGCTTTTAATGTGATGACATTGAGGAGCTGGAGTGGAGCCAGGGAAAGGCAACAGAACTGGTGCTGGCCCTGGAGCATAAGTGCGATGAGGAACAGCTGAGGGACCTGGGGGGTTTAGTCTGGAGAACAGAAGGCTCAGGGGGGTCCTTATCACTCTCTACAACTGCCTGACAGGAGGATGGAGCCAGGAGGAGTCTGGTCTCTGCTCCCAAGGAGCAAGGGATGTGACAAGAGGAAACTGCCTCAAGCTGCACCAGGGGAGGTTTAGATGGAGATGAGGAACAATTCCTTCCCCAAAGGATGCTCAGGCATTGGAGCAGGCTGCCCAGGGCAGTGCTGGAGTTACCGTCCCTGCAAGTGTTCAGACACCATGTAGATGAGGCCCTCAGTACCATGGGTTAGTGGTGGCCTTGGCAGTGCTGGGGTAAGGGTTGGAATGGATGATCTTAAAGGTCTTTTCCAACCTGGTTGATTCTGTGATTATGATCTTAAAGATTTTCTGCAGTTGCTAAATAAGATTTTTATTAAGGTGGCAAAACACACTGCTGCTGTGATTTATCCATGGTTTTTGTTAAACTACAGTAAACTGGGATTAATTCCATGCTGTAAACCATTCCCTTTTCAGCTGGTCCCATTCAGTCGCCTGTTTAACACTCAAACAGTGCTCAGCTATCTTTGCGAGCATTGAGATCTTAGTTGCAGTTTTGTAAGTTCTTCCTCTTGTTAGACCATCTTACATGTTGAGGGATTAATGTCTTCCCCTCTTCCCTCTCTCCCACCCCTATCCTAAGTTAGACTCTAAATTCTTCCCTTTTGATGAACCTTTCTGGGTGTATAGTTTGGTCTTGCAGGTATATCCCTCTCCCAGGGAGTTCTCCCAGGGAGTTCTTGACAAGTTTCTGTACTTAATGACTTTCTACAGAGGAAGTGGGTTGGGTTTTTTTTCTTAATGTTAAAACTTTCTCTATTACTGGTATGTAGTAAATTTAACACCCAGGTAGACAAAAGATGTTTTTAGTTGGCTGTTCTTTTCCCCTCATTTTTATGTTTTATGAATAATGCTATGTGATAAAGGCAGCAAAATTAGTGACAGTTTACGTAACAACCTCTGTGTCTCTGAGATCTTCCTTCTTTGAAATATCAATTGGATAGAGCCAAGAATAAATGCATAAGTTAAAATCTGTCTGAAAATCAAGTTCTAGATCATGAGTTAGGCTGAAAATAGTAGTTACCAGACATAAAGAAGCTTCCTTACAACACATCCATCTGCAAGAGTTTCCTTTTTCCGTTCTCACAAGCAGTTAACATTTTAGATATTGTGTAATATTCAGGTCATCTTTTTGTGTTTAGGATTTGAAGGATGAGAAGAAAAAGGCTAGAATGGCAGCATCTAGGGCTGTTCTTGAGAAGTGCACCATGATGCTTCTAACTGCTTCGAAGGTGAGTGGGTATGCATGCTGTTACACAACTTAGATAAATCACAGCGAACGGTGTCTAGCAGAATAGCTGATTCTTCTTTCTTAGCCCCACTCTAAACTTCACGCTAAAGAAGGGTGTAACAGTAAAGAATGGGTGGAGGAAAATCTTTGAGAACAGTATGAATTTTCACTTAACACAATAGCAGTTTAACACAAAGAATTAATCATATTCTAACACATTCTTTAGGCTTGCCTTAGCAGGAATCACTCATTTCGCTATACTGCATGTGTGCTCTTTCATAATACTTAACTTTGCTTTCTTTAAAAAGACTTGTCTGAGGCATCCAGACTGTGAATCTGCTCGTATAAACAAAGATGGAGTTTTTCATCGAATGAGATTAGCTTTGGAACAGGTAATAGAAATTGTAACTGACTCAAGACCAAATGGAGAAAGTGAAATGGCCCCTATCAGCATATATTCTGGTATCAAAGAGTTCAAGGTGAGTGGAAATAGTATGGTTTTCTAGGGCCTAATAAATTATCTCAAAACTAGAAGGGGATGTGTGTGTGTAAACGTTTTGTGATGGTTTGTTTTGCTTTTTTAAAATTCAGAATGGCAGACCTGCATCTTTTCAGCAGTGTTAACTTAAATAACCATCCCAAAATAGTAGTGAATCTGTCAAGAGATGGGTATAATTTCATTGTTGTTACCAAAAGGCACCTTTTGATACTTGCCATCTCCACCTGTATCAGGGTGCATTCAGAACTCTTAATGTTTGTTGAGGTGATGCCTTGGTGCTGAATAAGCCTGAGTATTAGGATATCTATCAGAACCTCATTCAAACAGTTCTTGAAGAAGAATTCTTGCTTTTTAACTGGTAGTATTTTTAAAACTGCGCACAAAAATATTAATCCAGACATTTAAAAAAGCAAACCATCATTCAAAGGCAGTATCATGAGTTGAAATTGTATCATCTCATAGCGCAGTCAGTTTTTCCTGATAAAGGCTTTCCTAAATTTCCTACTCAGTTAAGAACTGTTGTGAACAACCATGCCTCATGTGAGCCACTATTTCTTAGGAGTCTGTGACTTGTTTATTTTTTAATTCTGTTTTTATGATTTTTGATTATATTTTGTTGTTCATTCTCTCCCTCACTCCATTTAGAATTTGGCTGGGTTTTTTTTTTGTGTAATGCCTCAAATTATTCAATTTGTTACGTGTAAATATTTAGAAAAATATTCAGAAGAGATGATACAGATGTGGAAAGAGTGAACAAAACCTGAATACACTATTTCGGAAACGTGCTGGACTTAAAAGTTTTTATTGACAGCAGTGGAACAGTTGTGTATTCGCTGTTACTTTTCCTAAGTGGCCAGTAATTTGCTGATGGTGTTATTACATTTAAAACAAGACAAAAAATACCAAACCCTTAGCTGGATGTCTGGATAAAGCAAATCATTGGAATACTTTGAGAAATGTGAATAATTAAGAAAGCACTGAGGAGAAAAAGAAAATGTAAAATGATGCATCTGCTTTCTGCATTCATGTCGCAACCATGCAGCCACATAAATTCTCAAAGAACTGGCTGTGTTTCTTTTCCAGAATAAGGTGGAGGGTCTTCGTGAGAATCTTTATTTTCTCTCAAAAGAGAACCTTTCGACAATGCTGGAAGTTATCCTGGAACATACGGAGGACTTCACAGACTCTGCCTATACCAGTCATGAGCACAGAGAACATATTTTGGAGCTGTCTAAGCAGGCTAAAATGGAACTAGAGCAGCTGGTTTCAGTGTGGATGCAAGCTGTAAGAGCTTTTTAGCAAAGTAAATCTTTTCACCTCTACTTTGGAAGCCATTTTTAATGCAGTGTTTCTTCTGGTCTAGGAAGAGAGAACTCTGTGTATTGCTCACAGCGAGAGCTGATCAAGGAAGCCAGAGTTTGTTCTGTGCTTTGGCAGTTTCAATATGTTCTGTCCCTGCCCCAGTGGTGTTGCTTCATTGATTCTTTGATGCCTAAATTAAGCTACTGGTGGCAGTGGGCTAATGAAGCTGTAAGTGGAAACAAGAAGGCAAATGGAAGTATTGCTCAGTCTTAAACAGTTAGGTCTTTGGTGGAGTAGTTCAGAGACTTTCAGTGGTCATGGTCCCATGGCAGTGACCAGTTTCTGTTACTTGTTTTCAACAGAATATTGGAACACACCTGAACTATTGAAAAGGAAAATACTCTAAAAATTTCACATTTTTGTAATCTTGTGGAGAGAAAGTACACATGGAGACTTACAGGGAATTTTTGTTTGTCCTTTTCATAAGATCTAACCGATAATTTTCTTTTTAGAGAAGTAGCACATTAAGCCTTCCTCCGTCAGTTCTTTTATCTTGTCCCTTGAAGATGATAGAACATAAATGCAAAGGGGGGAGGAAAAGCAGAGGTGGAAAATGCAGCTGCTTCTTTGATGCTGACTTGCTTTTGGTCTTGTTCCTGGGAAAAACGTATAGCACAAAATCTTACCAAAACTGTGAAATATGGCAGATGTGTACTAGTGTAGGGTACTTACATAACTGAGTGTATTTACTTCCGAGAAACCATTTTTGTTCCATTTCTCCTTTTTCAATCAGATGCTGCAGTCAGGTGTTCTTAATGCAGTAACACAGTTTGAACAGCATATAACCCTTACTGATAATACAGACTGCTGTTACTACAGAGAAGACACATATAGAATAATAATTGCATATACTCCTTAACTCCATATAGGAAACTAAAACTGTTTAGCTTGGTGTTGGTGATTAGCCCTGATTGTTAGGCAGCTGTGTAAGCACTGCTCAGCAATAACTACCACTTCCCAGTGCTATCACTACCGTTTTTGTCACAAATCCAAAACAGCACCATACTAGATATTGTGAAGAAAATTAAGTCTGTCCCAGCCAAAACCAGTGCACTTGGGTATTTCAAAGTTCTGTTACTGGTAGAAAATGGTCACCTCTAAATAGTACACATGCCACGTTTCAAGTGATAGAAATGAGGGCCTAGTGCAAGACTATGCATATATATGATCCATGAAAATATTTGGGTATGCACGTGTGCTTGTGCATTGAGTATTTTCATTAATGAATAACCCAGCAGCTTCATCAGAGGGTGAGTGTTTTCTGAGGGATGTAATGTAATTCAGGCTGGATTGTTGATTAGGATACATGAACTGGGTGATGTGTAGAGCTCTTAGAGTGCCAAATTGTCTCCCTTTTTGCTCACCATACTTCCTTTCAGCAAGCAGAGTAACTGTGAGTCTTCAGTGAAGAGTGTTTTTAAACACAAGTCTCAAGTCTAGGTTTGACTCACATCACTGATTGCTCTTTCTTGTATTACTGTATGTTAATGAAGCTGGAGCAAACCAGATAACCTACTGCTGTTCATTTCATTTTAAGTATTTCTGATATCCTTCCTGTGTATGTTTGAGCTCATAAGGTCACAAAATACTCTCCTGGTTTATGTTTTCCTGTAACATATTTTGGCTAGACAGTTCCTTCGCTTTGTGTTTTAAAAAAGTTGCACATAGAATGCACTTACACAGATTACTTAAAGCATTAAATTTGAGAGATAAGTAGCTTTGAGACAGAGCTTTATGGATAAGAATACCTGAAAAACTTGCCATATTTGCTTGGGTGGGTGATTTTTCCTTTAAGGAAAATGGAGGATGTCTATACCTACACACATTTTGCCTGTGTATGTTTATGTTAATTTAGACTCTGAGACACTAATATTTTTTTTCAGCTATGGCTATTTTAACAGTCCCAGCTAGGATAATTGTTTCCAATATATTTCAGAGAAGAATGCAGAATTACTGCTACTTAACTCTTTTCCCAGTGTATGTCTCTTGGCATTTGGGTTGTTCCATAGGTAGGTGCTGTTTGCAGAAGTGGGAGCTCTGTCTTGAGGCTACCTTAATAAAGTGTTGTAGGCTACTGTACTCCTTTAAGTTATATGAACAATGATCTAGAGTCTTACAAGGATGCTTTAAGTAACCTTTTTTAGTCAAGTATAAAACTTTTGGTATGACATTTTAGGTACCACTTTAATTTAAAAGGGCCTTTGTCTTTTCAAAACTACTTAAAAATTGCCATAAGCTGTTGCTGTCCTTTCGGGTGCTTAGACAGAAGAATTTTGGAAGTTGTGAATTTCATGGGGAAAAAACCAAACAAAAGCTCAGTGAGGTTTAGAAATAAATTCCTGTTGAGCAGAAACAGTCAGTTAATTTGCATCACTATTAGTTTTAGATTTGATTTGGTGATAGCTGTTTCTATAAAAGACTTTTTCAAGTAGAATACACATAGGATGTGCGAATGAAAACATTACATCTAGAAAGGAAAGGCTGTCTTCTAAAGCAACTTGAAGTAACGACACATGATGTGAGGGTGGGATTTGCTGGGGTATTTGTATAATGTTTTGTCAGTTATTTCTTTGGCTTGTAGCAAAACCAGAAGACAAAGGATATCATGGAAGACTTGGAAGTAGCTATTTTAAAAACATGCCAGTGCATGAATGAACTTAAAAGAGAGGTAAGTTTAGTTTAAGCAAGCATAAACTGAATAAAAGCATGACTTTCTTGTTTGTTGTATATGAACTTGTAAAATAGGATCATGTAGCCTCAAAAGATAGGAACTATTTATGGACAAGAGTAGCTAAATCAGAATTACATTTGGGAGCTGGCATGCAGTCGTCTTCTGTGTCCTTACTAGAAATGCTTAGAAATCTGTTAGATATGGAGGCTCTTTGCTAATTCTGACAACAATAAAAAAGGTAAGTGTTTGAACATAAGTACTATGTATATAATCACTACTTTAAATGTAAAGGCTAAACGTTCCCTGGGGATGCATGCATCACTCTTTTAAGTACTTTTTCTTGTAGTGTGTGCTTAAATGAATAAATCGCATTTGCTGTCTGTTTGTACTTAACCTCTTCATGTTGATTTCTATAGCAGAGATGTATTATGATAGTGCCTTACACTCAGGTATTTTTCTAGACATTTGGCAGCTCTGTATGTTCCTGTTGTAAATCATTTTTTTCCTAAATGCAAGTATGCTGGGTGTCAACTTACATACACATACAAGATAGCTGCCTCATTTGGTACATGGGATGGACTGCACTTGCTGATCAGTGTCATGTGTGTGCATTCATCTGTCCCCCTCTCCATTAACGGATAGCATTGCTGCCGTGTCTGTTCCACAGATTTGAGCCAAATACAGTATTACTGGTTTCTGGTAGCTTTCAGAATACTTGCAGTAACTGCTTCACATTACTGTTCCTTTACAGTAAGACAACAGATGGAGAAATTATGACTAAGAACAATGAGGGTTTCAATACTAGGCTACAGAACAGTGTAAAGATGTTAGGGAAGTATGGTGAACTCGGTTAGACTGAACTCTCAGCTGCTGTAACTGGAAAACCACGACTGCTCAAAAAAATCGTGATGCATATTTTTTAATAGGGGTAGAATGAGAAATTTCCTTTTCTGGATTGTAATCCTTGCAGCTGTCCTGAAGATTTGAACAGTGCTTTGAACCTATTTCAGTTGCAGTTAAGTGTTTTGGACTTCTGCTGTCAAGCAGTGTGTTGGGCTCCCAGGAAATGGAGGATACATAATTAGTACACTTTGATTAATGGTTTTTTTGTTCAGTCAATATTATGTAGGAAGTCAGTAGCAGAGCTTCTCTGAAGTGGCATTCACCTGCTTTAACTGTAAGATCATCCTTTCTGAGTAACATTGCTCCCAATGAATGAGGGAAGATTCCTAGTCAAAATAGTATGTCACTGTATAATCACATAGATCATAAAACCAAACATGGCTGGAATATGACATGTGGAAGAAGTCATTAATATCCTGTATTTTCTTGCAGCTCCATAAATGTAAACTGTACCTTATTGTCCTGCCCACGGGTTTCTATTTGTGCAAATGTTACACAACAAAGACTACACATTTACCACACTTAAAGACTTTTTTCAGGTGGCAATAATAGAAAATGACCTTCTGTAAACCAGCAAACAGAGATGGCATAAAATACAAAACAGTGGGTTACCTGTCCCCTGTGGTGTAGCTCCATATTGAAAGCAAGGCAGGGGAAAATATAGCACGCTGGTTTAGAAATAGAGCAAATTCAGAGGGTGTGGATTGCTAAGTGACAAATCCTAAGTTCTGTATGACTTGTTTTGGTCATCTGTAGACCATGAAAGTTTGCTTACTAAAGGTTTTTTAAAAATACACAGGATTCATGCTACTCGTAGAAGTAAATTTAGAGCATTATGTTTTCCTTGTTCTCTGTGTAGTGATTAGATTGATCTCAGAGTAGCCATGCTTCTGTATATGGCTAAGGAGGACTGTCCTGTCAGTCTGACTTCGGGTGCTGCAGTGTATCAGCCAGAAACCAGGATCTGTATTGGTGAAATTGAAGTATTGTGACTCTAAAGAGAGAGCCTGGGTGGCTGGGAACACAAGACAGCCCTGTTAAAAGTAGTTCTTTCCCATCTCTGTCACTTTACGTAAGAAACAAAAGGTATGTTCCTTACTTGAGATGATTTTCTAACAATGAGACACAGCATTAAGTAGAAGCGCATTTCTTTTTTAGATCAGGATGAAAAGACTCTCTGATGAAAAGTAATCTCTGTGTAGGCTATATATAAATGAGAATTGCCGGTTCCTACTGTGATATTACAAGCCTTGCAAATAGCTTTTCCTCAGACCTGACTTCATTTCTGATATTAGTGGTTTGTGCTGATTTTTAATGGCATGCGAGCAACGCTTTAAAGTAGTTTATACAGGTTGTTGTCGCTTTTCTCTTGTCTCTAGAAAACAGTCACAGAAAGATTTTGAGGCAACAGTTCAGGTTTCTTGCATGACAACAAAAACAAATCAAAACCACCCACAAAGCAAAAACCCCAACCTTAATTCTGGACTGCAGAGGAAGTACTGCTGGGGAAGGGGATAAAATAGGGTAGAGACCAGTGGAATAACCCCCCCCCCCAACATATCATTCTAGTAAATACTCTCTTATCTACAGAGTTGAGGCCCACCAGTGGCACAATTTCAAGCTCACTGTATTCATAAGAACTTGAAAGATAACTTTTTTCATGAATAACCAAGTTTGTTGTATATTCAGTGCAGTCTGGCAACGTGAGGGTACTATTACAAAAATTGTAATAGACATATGAGCAAAAGAATGCTCTGCTCTTTCTACAAAGGTCACTATTTTGGTTTCACTTATGTTTTTAAAATGGACTGATTTTAAGTCAAGTCAGTCATAGGTAAACCTATTATGACTAGTCACTGTCGAACTAGAAGCAGCTGTCACTGATAGCTGTTGTCAAGCAGAGTTCCTCACAGCATGATTTCAGCAGATCCTTGGGTCTGACAGTGGATCTGGATTTAGGGATGTGTTTCGATGGGAAGCTTCTCCTTGCTTGTCGTAAGTGTATGGGGAGTGAGACTTCTTCAAGATCCATCTCTGGCTTCAGTCTTCTTGCAGAAAAGATGCTTTTTACTTTTCTAAGGCCTGGTCACAAGCTGATTCTTTTTCTTTGCATAACTGAGAATTCAGTTTATTCATAGGAACTTAATTTCTAATATATTATAATCTCAGATGCTGTGTGGCATCAGTCTGATGCGCAGTTCAATGTGTGTTCTTCATGAGGAGTAGCCTTTGTCCCATGCTTACACTGAACTTGGTGCCACACAAATTCATGCACCTGGTTTTCTCCCAGCTGTAGCATTATCAGAAAGCAGTAGTGTCATAACTTCATGTCCTCCTTTTACCCAACTCCCCTTTTGTTTCTCTCCATATTCTCCTTGTGGAGGTTGCTTTTTTCTGAGTGCACTGGAGTTTGTTGTTTGAATAGTAATTGAAGAATTAAAGTCCCAGAAAATATGCAGGCTGTATAGGAGCTTTCATAGCAGTATATTTTTTATTTCTTGGAAAAATCAGTTTGTCTTGTAAGTTTATTTTACTTGGTAGTGGATGAATTTTTTTTCTTTCCATGGCTTATCTCTCCTTCTTCTTTTAATGCTACTCAAGGTTCACAGTGCAGCAACATCTTTGGCAGCAGATCTGCTAAAATACCATACGGATCATATGGTTCTCAAAGCATTAAAAATCACAGGAGTAGAAGGAAATCTTGAAGCTGTAGCAGAATATACTTGCAAGCTATCAGAGCAAAAAGAACAACTTGTTGAGGTGAGTTCACAGCTGCTTTCATTTTGTGAGGCACTTAGAAAATGAGTGGCCAGATGTGTCTTACTCGATTATTTAGGAAGACTTTGGTCTGTGCTTTTATAATGTTTACTTTATTTTCCTGATATACTGTTGAATTCTGTATTGCTCTTGGCAGGGTCTGAGCCAGAGGTGTCACTGTGGCGTACAGTTGTTATAGAAGGGATGTACAGCTGTACTCAGTTTTCCTCCTGAATCTAGCCTCAATCCTTATGTATATATCATGACTAAAACAATCATTAAAAAAATAGGTTTCTAGATCCAAATAGAGATGATAGCCTTTTTCTTTCATGCAGTAGGCATTCAGCAACAGCTGAATCCAAAGACATGTTTTAAGAGCTCTGGGAATGTAAGGTTAAGTTTCTTAATGCAGTGAACTTGACTGTTTTGAAGATCTTGTGTAGTTTTTGTCAGACAAGAAGGCCACTGAAAGTCTTCCTGCTTTGTGAAAAGCAGTCTATATGTTTCATGTACTAACACGGTTTCATAAGCGCAGTATTCACACACATGAACAAATAGGACTTCTGAGACTACTGGGAGATCATGGCTTTTAGGAAACAGTGGTTTCTAGGAGTGCCTGTGGAGAGGATGCCTGCCATGTATCCCATGTGTTGCTCTCTCGTCTGACAGATGAGCAGAAGTAACTCTACCAGTAGGATACATACAGAGATACATCACTTTGATCTGGAACATGGTGATGCCAACACTTGTACTTTTGTGGCATATACATTGCTAAAAAAAATTGTGATACTGTGTGGGGCTTGAAGATTCATCCCAGATGTATGAATATGCAGAAGCATCACCCGTGAATTTCTGGGGCTGGCAAATCAACGCTGTGGACTTTAAATTTCAGCTTTGCTGTTTCCTTTTTCTGTGCCTTGAGTAGTGTCCCAGTGAGCCAACAATTTTTTTCTTTCTTTTCTTTTCCAGGCATAACTATGAGAGTAAATAATGTTTCTCTGTGAGGCCTTGTAGCATTTTTGATGGTGGACAGTGCCATTAGTTTCATATTTGCTGTCTGTCTTTTAAGTGCTCCTTTTGATCTGAAAACTTCAATGTTCCTTCTCAGGCCAAAGTTCACTCTTAATCGTGTTAACAAGAAAAAACAAAAGCCAACAAAACAAAATTACATTGTACGTACTGTGAAAGGAAACAATTATTCCCTAAAGTAATTTGATGCTGATTTGCTCAAAGATAATTCACTCCCCTGAGTGATGAAAGCCTGAATTTTCCACATGGCTACTAATTGCTGAGTAAGCCTGTTTTGGTGAGGTCATTTATGCTGCAATTTTTCCATGTTCTGTAGGTGCCTAATTAGCTGTCAGGTTTATTCAGTTGTAAATATGTGAAATTGTTGTTGGTTTATTTTTATTTGTTTATTAAGACTTTTCTTTCTCTTGGTGTTCTTCTACACGTTCCAAGTCAGGATTTAGCCCTGCTTTTATTGTAAATGCTCCCTGAGAAACACCCAGCTGTGTGGTCTCCAAGATTCTGAAAGGACCATCAATAACTTCGTGGCTCTGTGTGTGTGTCTTTATGCATATGCACCTTTCCTCACTACTAATGAAAGCATGTTTTTAACCATTCCTTTCTCTCTTTAATTTATGAAATACATTCAGATGTGTCGCTTACTGAGGCATGTTTCTGGAACTGAGCCCCTCGAGATTACCTGCATACATGCAGAAGATACCTTTCAGGTCACTGGCCCACAGGTATGCTTGGCTTTTATCTGGACGCTTCTAATGGACATAAATCAATAAAAATTACTTGTATGAATTTTTTGAAGACCTGATGTAGAACTGTTCAAAACAGTACTAAGGAAGAATTATGCTTTAATCTTGGGTGGTAGCTAAATGAATGCACAAGGAAGATCATCAAGCCTGCAGGTATCAGATGAATACACTATAGACATAACAGGAGCAGTTTAATTTTGTGGTTTGCCTGTGAAGACATTTATAAATCCATGTGCAACACTATGTACTGGGACTGCAAATAGCAAATATTTTGTTCTCTGTCCAGATAATTTCTGCTGCAGAAACACTGGCATTGCATCCATCTAGCAAGATTGCAAAAGAAAATCTTGAGGTGTTCTGTGAGGCCTGGGAGTCTCAGCTGAGTGACATGTCTATGTTGTTAAGAGAAATCAATGATGTGTTTGAAGGAAGAAGAGGTAAGAATGATATGTAGAAATAGAAAAGCAGTTTTCAAAACATGTAGTGTAAGAATTTCAAGTGTGATTCAGGAAGTACGGTTTTCTTAAGAGCACAATAGACAGTCTTACATCCCATATGGCAGTGTGGAATCTAGGTGGCAATACACAAATGTGTTGGTTTTGTATAGATGCTGAATTAGGGTGCTTCTCAGGTTTTCTTTTTCCAAAGAAAACCAGCTAAAAATTTAAAGGTCTCATTTGTGTAAAATTAGGTATGTTTAACTTCCTACACTGTGGTTAGTAAAATCAAGTGGAATTGTTCCAAAGACACAGAAGTATTCCACACTACTCTTTGCCAGTGGTGTCCAAATATTAGGGATGTAGGGCTTTCATCCCACCTTTTGGCTTGTCTAGGGTATACCAGTTTATTGCAGTGAAGATATAATTTAAATTGTGTAACGTTTAATTCATTTCCTGTATTTCTGGGGGAAAAACTATATATATATATATTCTATGCTGTCAGCTTGCCTTGTATTCATTTCATAATGTAGTGAATGTAGTTATTTGATTTTTAAACTGCTGTCCTTTCTCGTGGATGGAATCTCTGATGACTGCACAATCTTGGGATATTTTCTCTGGTTGGTAAGTTTACTGGTATTTGTACAACATGTAGAAGAAAACCTCGGAGTCTTAAAAAGAAAATAAGTCCGTGTTTACTTTTAGCGTAATTTACCTTTAAATGGAAACCATGTTGTTTTTCATTTTTATCTAACATAATTTTTTTCCAGATGATGTCTTTATGTAGCCTGTCATATTTATTGCGGCTACGTGTTTGTTTCAGTCTTCAAAGTGTAATTGCATACAGGTAGAATGTAATATATGATAATACTGAATGTCTTGTATTTTTAAGAAAATCACTCAGGTTTAAAAGCTTAGGTATAGTTAAATACAGGAACTTTGGTTTTGTATCCAAGGTACACAAAAAGTAAATCCTTATTCAGGTTAGGTGACACTTCATCAGTGATACAATCCTTCATATTGCTGTTAATGTGAGACCTTTTTTCTGGTTTTAAGAGTTTATTTTTGTCAGTTTAACTTTCTGTGCTTGATCAGTTTTTTCTGTAAGCAGTTCTTTTCTGCCAGCTTTGTTGTGAGGGCGCCTAACAACCAGCCATGGGGTGCAGTATCTTAAACTGTTTTTGCTGGTTGCTAGATGAATGTGTGTCTGAGCCTGCAGACCTGTAAAGGGAAAACATATATTGAAGTTCTGAGTGGGTTTACAGTGTTTGTGTGCATTGCAGGTGTGTGGGAATTTGACGTGTTTGAGAAATGCATGTTGTTATCCTGCTTGTTTGTCCACATTAGTCTGGAATATCATCTAAACATGTGTAGCAATCAGAGATCCTGTTTATGGGCCTTTTAACTTTCAGTGGGATTTTTGTTTGTTTTCGGAGCCAAGGACATACTAACTTAATTTAAACATAGCATTACGTTATATATAATGTAACTTAAAATATAGTATTACTCTAATATTAATTTATTATCATAAATTTGGAATTTGCAGGACTGCCCATTCATTATGTGATTTTTTTTCCATATTCATGCAAGGGTCTAGCAGGGTTGAATGAGAAACTTTTTATATGTGTGTGCATGTGTGCATATGCATGTATATATTACTGTACTTAAAAATAATAAGATGGGAATCATGCAGCCACAGCGAAACATATGCTTGGTTTCCAACCAAATAGTTGTTGAATGCTGTGACAGATTCCCAGCCTTTCCTCTAGTTAGTACCTTTTTCTCCTCTTGTGGTTGTTGACAGCAGGTAACAGCCATTTTCCACTAGTGGTAGTTTACAGTTTCTTTAAAGCATCATTTCACAAGGCAACCAGTGTCATTGCTTGAAGGAGAGAGAAGAGAATGGGTAGGTGTTGCTGAGCATGTCGGAGGCTGTTAGTGTGTGTGGGCCTGGCTGCAATGAAGACTGATTTCTGTTTAGCACAGCCAGATGAGTCTGCTCTTGTGAGTGTCTCTCGTTTTCTCAGTCTGTCTTTCAGCATGAAGTGTTCTGATGCCACTGTTGGTAAGATAGATAGCAAGGACAGCTTGTGTTCTTTAAATGGCCTTGGGTACATTAGGTCTTGTATTGCCAAAACAATGCTTAAGAAATCATGTCTGTTTCCCTTGTCTTGTGTCCCAACCTAGTAAGGGACTTCCTATTGAATCTGGATTGTTTCACATTAACTGTCAGTTATCTCCTTAGAAATAATTTGGTCTCTTATGTCCACCCATCTTCTACAAAGGCTTCTTCTGTATTGTCAGCTAATTTTTTTCTGCCTGCTTGTGTTCTGTTGTTTGACATCAGAGTGACTCCTGCCCCCAAAAAGAAAAAGACAAAAATCTCACCTAAATACCTCCACCTTTTTGCTTCCAGGAAATATCCTAAGTCTACCTTGCCACTCTCAACACTTTTTCTTCAGAAAACATGACTGGTGACCCAATCAATAAGTTACAGTACATGTTTGCTAAGAGATGGCATTCACAAAACTTTAGTCTCCAAACACAGTGAAGTTCCACAGTATTTTGTAGGATTTTACTCTTCTTGTAACTCATGATACTTATCTTCATGTTAACGTTGGTAAAAGTGTCTTTATTTTACAGACTAAAATGTAACAAGTGCTTTATTTCTAGTAGAATTGTGATTGTGTGTAAGAAAAGATAGTATTCAATAAGAAGGTACATATATTTTTTTCTCCTCAGTTTAAAACCTTGTATTTTTGTACTACCAATGTAAATGTTTGGCTTTGTTAGAGAGTTCAGAATACAGTTTAAGAGGCAAAAATTGAGTGGTGACTAAATGTGCTGGACACATCAAATAAAAGAAACATTTTTCTGATTATACTAGATTCCCATTGTTTATACTCATTTCTTTATCGTTACGTGCAATTGCGTAACTCCTTATCCAGTGTTTATTTCCCATCAGCAAATTAGGTATTTCTCATACTGAGGCTCAAATCTCACATGGATAGAGCACCAGATTTAGCTTGGAGATGAAGCAGCATTTTACTGAATTTTAATGTAATTGCACCAGATCATGCCCAAATTGAAACCGACTTGGCTTGGGGAGAGGGGTGCATATGCATGTAGGACTGGAGGAAGCTGGTAAGCACACCACAGCCCAGTAACCCTCATGTGGGTTTTGAAAATGCCTCTGTGCTATGCAGAATGGGCCAGGGAGGTTGAGTTTGCCTTCTCTTGCTTAATCCTAAAACAGTGAGGGAGCCCATTCTGCACAGTGTTGGCATTTGAATCTCTGCATGGCTGGTCTGGGCTGAGGAGAGTGCTGGGCATCTTGTGAGAGCGACTTCTGTCAACTGGAAGGTTTAGGTTAGATACTTATCTTTAAGGCTCTTGCACTTTGAGATGAATCACCTAAGGAAAGTACCATCCCATCTGTTGGCTGTCAGACAGTCTCTTTTTTCCTAACTTCTTGGTTTCAACATGCTGGAGAAGAATGTGAATAATTACCCAATTGCTCCCTAGTAGCTTGGTCAGGAGTGAGAGAATTATGTATGAAGGTAACTGGCTTTTCTTTTTGCCCTCTTGTTTTCCCACTTGTTTTGAGAGGAGTTCGATGACCATGAGGATTTGGGAGGGCTGTATTTGGTGAATAGGGAATACAGAACAGAATCTAGAAATGGGAGTTCTAGAAGGGTGAAGCAGGGCTGCAGCCATCCTACTTTCCAATAAGAACTGAGGTCAAGAGCAAGATTTAGAAGTTGAAATAGAGACATTTTGGAGGGAAAAGCATGACTGGGGCTGCTGGAAAGTGGAAAACTGGAAGACCAAAGAGGATTGAGGTTCACTTGTTAATTACTGAAATTTGGTTTTAGGGAGTCAGTTGCCTTGACATGGAGCTCATGATTTTTTTGTGGTGCCAGGAGATAAAGAACTTACTTAAAAAAATCATGAATGCACAGGAGAACTGGCCTATGAGGACTCAGACTGGAATTTCTCTAGGAGCTCATACAAGAGGAGGAAATAGCAGTTGTAGGAGGGGGATGTTGCTTGTCCTTCTGTCTGTCAAGGTGCATCATCTCTATGTAAACTTGGTACTGATATCCATTATAGTAGCCCTTTGTTTCTTCAGGTGGTGAAAAATCTGTTTTTCACTAGCTTTTGAGGTGGTTCTATTTATTTTGTTTTATTTTATTTAGCAGATTTTGCTCTTCAGTAAGTCTTCATAGGTACTAAGTTTTCTGGTAACTGGAGCTCTAATCCTAGGCTGTTAGCCCAGGCACTGTTTCCTCTTGCCGAGAAATTCTTACCCGCTTTTAGGTAACACCTAAAAGGTTGGGGTTTTTCTTCTGTCCATTTGTTTTGCTCAGACTTGGAATATCTGTGGCTCCTGAGGATATAAGGAATAATTCAATATGTGTGTAAAATGCTATAGAACCTTTTTCTTTATAAAACACAGTGCACACAGGATACATGGAGTACAGCACAACATGAGAGTTTTATTATCATGACTTAGGAAAAAAAAAACCTGCCTAGGTTTCTTACTAGAGGCATCGCCTACTCCAGACTTCAGACCATCTAACCCATGCCAGGAAAAGCCTTATGTGGAGTTAACCACTCTATGTTCTGTACTTTGCAACAAAACGAGTGTATGCAGTGATAGCTACTCATGCCACTCGTGGATTGCATACAGAAGACTAGAAATCTAATTGAGGGAAACAATTCAGAGAAGCTTTCTTAACTTCCAGTTGCTGAGAGATAAAAATCAGAACAGTTCAGGGTTCTTGGCTTGTCTCTCTCTGGAAGCACAAGACAGTGAGGGAATTCTATGCAATATTTAAAGATGAGAAATTACAGGTAAGTAATAGGCTTTTGTAGTACTGCAACTTAAGGGAGAATGAAGTAAGACCCTGTGATCCCACAGATTAAAATCTGCATACAAATTATGTTGTAAACATGTGTGTTCTTCATAGGAGAGAAGCGTGTCTACCTGTCACTGCCCAGACCAGGGGTAAGTTGCTTTTGGAATTGTTGTATTTACTTTATATCTGCTATTAACTAATCGACTTATTTCGGTGTCACACCTTGATGAGGACATAGCAGTGTCTTGGTAACGTGCATCTTGACTGAATGGCTGACAGGAAAATATCAAACTTTGACAGTTTATTAAATTAATAGCAAACATCCTGAATAGTAGGGTAACTAGTTACACTGTATGCTTTGAGTGTACATGAGCTTTAATTCCTGTTCATTAATATGACCTTTTTTTTACCATGTACTCGAGTGTCATGCTATGTAATAAAAAATACATTTTTACAATGAAAACAGAATACACTGTAACATGCTGAAAAGAAGTTATGGTAATCTGATTTTATTCTTTATTTTTAACTTTGTTGCCAGGATTTAAGCAGTTCTGCTTTGTTGTTGTTTGGCAGGTTGCTGCCACCTTTTGAGTTTTGCAAGATACATAGATTTGGGGAAGTTATGATTTAATACACAGTTTGACAGTGGGAAGGAAATATAGATTACATCCTTAAGACAACAGATTCCTTCACAAAGTAATTTCTTTGCCTAACAGATGCACTAACCTTTGGAATTGTCCCTCATCCTAGTGCTGTGACTTCCAGTACTGCCTCTTCTCTCCCTGCTGCCACCACAGAGGTCTGCTGTGCCTGGCTAATGCCCATGCTGTGCCTGCACAGGAGCCACATTGTTACCATTGATCTAACTAGGTTACATATTTTGTTACCTCTGTGGAACTGTGACTGTGCTGTCTGCTGGTAACAAGGGTCATAGTTGAGGACAGAGCAGGAATGATCATTCATATATGTGCTTAATGCACAAGTATGTTTTTCTCTATAGTATTAGGTGTCAAATCACATTTTAAAAGCAGAATAATTTCTTTTTTTACCAATTTTCATATTCAAACAGTGTGTGAGTGAACACCAGAATGGAAAAAACTACAGATCTGAGGAACATCCTGGGATTTCTTTAGTTATCTGTGGACAAAAAAGCTTTTTGTTTTGCGAAATCTTCTGATACAAGATCTATTTCTAATAGATTATTAGATACAAGATCAATTTCTAATACAAGATACGATTTCTAATACATAGGCAGAATTACAGTGTCTAATCTGGGAAGATATTCATAAGATTCAGAATATCTAAAAATTTGGGGATGGAAAAAGACAAATAGCATGAAAGCTAAACCGAGCAGCAGAATGCGGTGGGAACTTCAATAGTGGTACTTCATTTTTGCTCAAGCTGTTGAAGTGAGAGATGGAGACATTACCTGGAGCTTATTTCTGATGCTGTTCACATTGAATAGTGTTTTTTGCTCCCCTTGCATGTATTACTGCACTTAATTTGCCCAAGTACTCCCACTGCTGAATAGCAGCGCTGTTCAGGTTGTCAGACAAGAATCTCAGTCCTGTGCTCCTAGCATCCAACCTCCTCCAAATTGCGATGCCAGCTTGTACTTTCCATTCCTCTGCACACCAGAGCAGTTCTGAATGTGGACTGTGGCTTCCATGTCTGTTAGTTTTTGCTGTCTCTGCACGGTGACAGCACCAGCACACAAAGCCAGAAACTGCTACTTTCCACATGTAAATTGATCTGAAGCAAATCATGCACTACTGTGTATTATATGTTACTCAGTGGGCAAGCTCTGCCTTACCAGGTGGTCTGCTCACACCAGCACCATTAATTATTGTCTAATCTGAGCCAATATTTAGCTTGCAGCCAGATGGGTCTTTCAGATAGTTCAAGACTTAAATAAAAGAAGGAAACCCATTAAAAGACCAAAGTGTCCGTATTTGTTTCCAGCTAGTTCAACAGAGTGACACAGAATAACAAGCTACATCCTCACACTAGCATTTACATTGGTTGTACCCTAGATCAGCTAGCTACTAGCTAAATCAACTTCAAAGTCTGTTACATCAGTATCATCTTTGATGGAAAGAGCAGTGCAGTAGTACTCGATTAAGACTTTATTTACTCCTAAGTGTTACTGAGGATTTAGAGGGTAAGGAGAAGAGATGGTATTGCATGAGGAAGTAGAGAACCCTGGAAGAGATTTTTCATTAAAATCTTGGGGTGTCTGTAGGCACAGCCCCTGTTTGCACGTGCCATTTCAGGAGGACAGCCAGATTAGAACAGGTTCTCAGCTTCTACTGGGAAGTTTGTCTGAGCCACTGGAGCTCTTCTGCAAAGTCTGTCTCTTGAGTATAGCACTACCTCTTATGATCTGTTAATAAAATGATTACTCATTTCTTTTATTTAAAAATACTATTTTTTGTTTGAAACAGAAGCATAATGCAAATCTGAAAGCATTAAAGCCAGTCAAACTCGATACTGAGGTAAGATGCCATCATTTTAGTAAAAAAACTTAATTTTTTAATTTTGTCTGAAGAATGCATTTTCAAGTGCCATAAATATGGTTGTCATTTACAGGAACAGGCAAAGATTGCAAAACTTGGATTAGAATTGCATTTGCTGACATCTGATGTGGATTCTGAGACAGAGAAATGGGAGGATCAGGAGAATGAGATTGTGCAACATGGACAAGGCATGTCAAGTATGGCCTACTCCATGTATTTATTTACCAGGTAATTACACTGTATACAACATGCTTTGGTGGGAAGAGCAGCGTTAACAGTGTTTATGAGAAATACGACAGTTTAATTTTTCAGAGTGTAATAATTGGGGCACATTCAGAAAGGAGCTTTAATTTCTGTCCTTATGCTTTGTAAGTTCTTATAAATTTCTAAGCTGTTTAATAGTAAATTTAAGGGGGGTCAAGTGCTAAACATCTGTTTTGTTGCAGAACAACTATTTAAGTATCTCTTGGGCACAGAAAGCATTTTAAGGAGCATGTTCTTAAATACATTCAAAGTTAAGGGAATTAAAGCACAGGCATGTATCGGTAGATAGAATTACTGATCTTTGTGTTGTAGTGAAAGGTGCTCTTCTGAAACTTGCCCATGCAATGACAGCTCTTTTATTTGAAGAATTTAGGGTTTTTTAAGAAGAGAGAAGAGTTTGGGGTTTTTTTCATACCTGCTATCCCAGTAATACTCAGTATGCCAGAGATACAGATTTCTGTCCTTGTTCAGCTGATGAGAACTGAACCATTGCTTATTCCTGAATAGTGCCCTCCCCTCTGAGGTGTTTATATTTTTGAAATGCAGTTCCTGTAGTAAGTTATTGTTGCGCACAGTATCCTCTAAAAGAGTGATACTTTACAGTTCAGTAGAGTGAATGGGATGAGAGAGATACTTATAAATTGTGCAAGTAGTAGGCAAAATGATCTGCAGTCTATACATGTCATACATTCTCTTTCATTATTTCCCACAGAGGAGAAGGACTTCTGAAAACTACTCAAGATTTATTTCATCAAGCAGAGGTAATATATTTTTAACAAAACAGGAGTTACGCACTCAGTGCAGAACACACTGGAAGACAGGCTGAGAGTGTTGGGGTTGTTCAGCTTGGAGAAGGCTCCAGGGAGACCGTAGAGCAGCTTCCAGTACCTAGAGGGGGCCTATGCAAAAGTTAGAGAGGGACTTTTTACACGGGCATGTAGGGATATTAGGAGGAATTTCTTTCCTGTGAGGGTGGTGAGGCACTGGCACAGGTTGCCCAGAGAAGTTGTGGCTGCCCCATCCCTGGCAGTGTTCAGGGCCAGGTTGGACAGGGCTTGGAGCAACTTCGTCTAGTGGGAGGTGTCCCTGCCGATGGCAGAGGGGGTTTGGAATTTAAGGTCTTTAAGATCCCTTCCAAACCAAACCATTCTATGATCCCATGAACCTTACACTCTGAGTCCATACACATAGGTGTAGTGTGCCATGCATTGACTGGCAACTATAGATCTGTAGATTTTAAGCAGCCTAACTCTGGTGCATACTTCTGAAAGCTAGCTTTTCAGTGTTCCAGCTAGCTAGCTTTTCAGTGTTCCAGTCTCCATTAAACTGAGAGATTCCAGTTTGGAGTAGGAATAGCAAACTGGCATTATAGCAAATACAGTGCACTCCCATGCTTTACTAATATTCATTTTGTCACAGCTCAGTCCCTGATAGTGTTTATGGATACTCCATCCTAGTCTGAGCAGCAGTATTTTTTGGGGAAAGAAATAAGATGTAAAAGCTTGAAGAATACAAAGAAAAGGGGACAAATGGAGGAATGTGGTATGATATTTCCAAAGTACATGCCTGTATTTAACAGGAGGCTGGTTACCTTTGTCAAGACAATAAGCAAATGGCAGGTGTCATCTACCCATAAAACTCTTGTGAACTGGTAACAGTGAAAAAAATAATTGGAAGCCAGTTTTTTTTATATGTAAAGGAAAGGACTTTATACTTATCTGGGAGAATGAGTAGTGTAGTCATTTCAGAAGTCGCCACAAACTGCCGAGTTAACTATAAATGTATGCAACTCTTACAGGTGTTTCAGGCTACCTTTTTACTTTATAGCACACTATTAAAACAACAAAGGAAAAGAGCCTCATCTTTTATTGTGGTTCATTTTGTTAACATGCTTTCTCTGCATTTCAGATTTTTGCTACAGAGGGTACAAAGCTTGCTTCAGCTCTTCATGCCTTTTCTAATCAGGTGAGGTATGACCTCTAAAACCAGCTTTTCAGCTTTCAGCACTTGTAAGACTGCCTAAAAGCTAGTTGTGCTGTCTTCTCCATTAAGTTAATCTCAGAGTCTTTAATACAGTGGTTTTGTCTTCCTGAAACACATTTCAGGTACATGTTGATGATAAACCTTTGCTTCTGTTGGAGGCTGAAAAACTGATCTCTATGTGCAAGCAGCTCCAGATAACAGCTAAAGCTTCTGTTCAGGGTAAAAGTGCTACATTTACAAAGGTGAGCTAAAAATGATGTATACTCCTGAAAGTAAGACCTAAGTGCTTTTGAAATATAGTAACTTATTAATTTATGTTCCTGCTAAAATATGAAACAGTCCTTGACAGGCGAACTTCTCGGATTGACAGAGGACTATAAAAATTAATAAGTACAAAATTTTATGCTGTTGTGCAAGCATTTTTCTGCTGTGCAGTATGTCATTGGTGCTGCTCCTTCTGTGGATGTTTACTTCACCTTGAAGTACTGTTTTGCACTTGGCATGATTTGAGAAGCTGATGTGTGTAGAGGAAGAACAAACAGTAAGAACTGTTACTTTTGCTGAAAATGTTTTGAGACATTCCTCACTGATAACTGTAATCCAAACCATTTACCACACTGTCTTGTCGTGGGAGGGAGTTTTCTTCAACACAGGTGATACTGTTTTGTAGCCTTTTCTTTTTCAGTATGGTCAATGTGAGCAAGACCATTTTCTATGCACCTGGATGTTTGTTTCTAATGAGCTATGGAAAAGATGTTTGAATTTTACAGCAGGGACTGAAAATGGCAACAGCATCTGAGCCACTCAGGTCCAAATTGAGCACCTAAGGGCTACTGCTTGGTTTGGTTTACACTCTAGCTAAACTAAGTGGGAGCCCCAGTCTATTTATCCAGGGTGATGTATCACTACAGAGAAATAATAGGCTATCAAATTCATGTTAGTCAAGGGCGCCCAGACTTATGATCTGTGCTGAGCGTTAGACTTGAGGCATAAACTCAAATGCTCCAAGATTTAGCTGACCTTTACTGTAACTCCTAAGGTAAGCTTACATGACACATGGCTTTCTAAATCATAGAACTGACAGAACATAAAACTAAAGCAAAAACATGAAGAATTGTGACTAATCATACTTAGATGGTAACAGCTTCTTTCCAAGACACCTACATTACTGTTTAATATAGTATTATTATTAGTTTCTTCTCCTGGGATGTGTGTCATTCCCTTCTACTTCCTAGCTCAAGTCTTGGGTTAACAGAAGGGATGCTGTTGCCTTACACATACTGTTTACATTCAAAAAGGGTAGGCAAAGCCTTTTGATTAGAAGGGATTTATGAAGGACAAATATTACCTATTGAAGCTTGAAACAGATTATCATCTCATGCATTTAAAAAAGTTGCCTAGTAATGAGTGGTCTTACTTGTTTAGGTTGATGCGTGCATTCTGAAAACAAGGAATGTGATGACTTTGTTATGCCAACTTCTTCCACTCTGCTGCAAATTGCTGAGAAAGGTGAGTACTTGGTTAATCAATTTTGGGTTTGGGGGTTTTTGTTGTTGCTGGGTTTTGTTTCTTTAAAAATATTTTAATTTTTTTTTTTTAATTTGTGCAGAATAAAGCAGGAAATGGCTGCCTTAAACCTGCTCCACCATGGAGAGAAGACAGAATACGGATTGGTACAAATTCACATACACCAGAAAGGAGAGCTGAAACATTTGGCATCAAGTCTTTAGAAAACCATGTAACAAGCATGACATTTTTAGAGAGCAAGTAATTAGAGCACTCAGAAATGCAGGAACTCCCATCTGAAAATAACACTTGGTGAATTTTCAATATTGCTTTCATTTGTGGAAAGTCAGATCAGGTTAATTTGAATTAAAACTGTTGACCTTTGTCACATCTAATAGATGTCCCTTTACTTGGCAATTACAACATCAACTGGTCTAATTGCTATGTATTTTTGTAATGTGAATGCCTTTCCTATGCTCACTATTGATACTGGTTTTGTAATTAATGCTTATGAATGTCTTAATGGATGTTTCAACCCAAAGATGCTGCTAATAGACATTTTACATAAAGAATCTTGTACTGCATATGCTATATGTATATATAGCATATGCAGCATTTTACATAAAGAACCTTGTGCTGCATATGCTATATGTAACACTGCTGTTGAAGTCTGTATACTCATCTCTGGCCTATTTCAGTTTACGTATTTGGATAAAGCAGAATCAGGAATGTAGTCTGAAGGGCTGTGGCCTAAAGCACTGAAATCTTACCTTAGTTGTGAGTTACACCTGCAATGAAGTAGTTCTATGAAGAAATAAGCCAGAACTCTTTCAATAGCTGCATCACTGAATTTTAATCTTGTTGAAATGATTCATGTTTCCAAAAGTGTATTTCTAAGTGATTAATAGTCTTGCCTCAAACCCTTTTTCTTTTACTCTATTTGTAGATGGCAGTTGTTTCCTTTTTTATTAAAACTTCCTGAGCATAATTTGAATTTTAGGTAGAATCACAGAAGTATTATGTAGACTTTACATTATGCCATTTAAAATTTAAGAAAGTAGATACTGATTATGGCAAACTTCTGTACAAAGGGCACTATTTGACTTCAGGATACCATGAAAATACAACCTGGTGTGAAATACATATTTTCTGGTTTTGTATGCTCTTTGTACATAGGCTTCCATTGCATTTTTATTTTCAGTTCACATTTGTCAAACTCCATCTTGTATTAGTTTATCTAAATTAAGTGATGGCTAAATTGTGTAATTTTTTTGTATGTATTATGCTTGCACAGAGCAGAAACATAGCTGCCTGTGGAACATAAATACTCTCCAACATATCCTGTGCTTATGTAAAAACTTGTAGTGCTAGAATTCAGAGAAAAAAGAAAAAGCAAATCTTAATATACAAACTATTTGAACTGGTTTATTCTTGTATGAATCAAGCATTTAAGTTCCACTTCTATAAACAGGCACTAGGCCTTTCAATACCATGAACATTACAGCATACAATAAAAGTAGCTTATTTAGCATGAAATACAGATGATAACTCTATCACTAATTTCATGAAGAAGAATTAAGACGTTTCAACAAAACTTCCTCATACTCCTTCTGTGTCAGAAGTCCTTGAGTTATACTCTTGCTTTCTTCAAATTTGGGTAGAACCACTGCAATGTATCCCTCAGTTGATGGCTAAAAAGCAATGCTGAAGTTAGCAGTGAAATAAAAGTTGGAAAATGCAAAGCAAGAAAGTGTCTTACCTTTTCTTGCAGAATAGTGGGATTGCTAAGAATGTTTTCATTCACTTCTATCAGTCGCCCTCGTATACAACTACAGAAAAGTGATTACATTCAGTAGAAGCGCAAGGTGGGTCAAAGTAAGAAGAAAAAGAGAAAAACTTTACCTATAAATGGTGTATTCCTCGCCATCTGTTGAAGATATCCTGCACAGAGGGGCAAGTTCTGTTAAAAACTGAGCTCCCTGCATTTGAAAATGAAACAAACATATATATACTTCTAATTACATGGGTCTCATTAAAGGATTACCAGCAGCCACAAAAGTTTGTAAGCTGCTCAGAACAAAGCAAGGCAGTGTGATAGTTACAAGTCATTGCAAGTTACACTGCTGTGCTTCCCTGTAGAAGGGAACACACAACATAGTTACGTACATAAACAGAAGCTTGTTAAGAGCTTACAAATTAAGTCACAATTAGATTTATTGTGGATTAAAATCGGAGAAGAGAGCAGAAAAACACCACCATTAATTTCAGTATAACCAGGTTAAGCTACACATATTTGAAAGCCCACCATGAAACACTGAACTAGTCCATCTGCTCTCTAGGTCTGTTTGAGAAAAACAGTAGTCTCCAAATCCTCAGCATTTTGGTGGCAAAAAAATTTCATCTTCTCAGTGATGTTTAAGTGTCCTCGTATACTATGAAAAAAAATGATTAGCACATCTGTTAGCCTTGGTTTGAGCCCCACTGGAAGCTACCTGTGCTGTAGGAGCACTGTAGGGCCCTGGTTGGAGCAGTTAAATTAAGCACCTCTGGAAAAAGTCTAAATTCTTTAACCATGGAGGAGCTGTTTTAAAACAGAATGCAAAGGTAACTTGGCAAGTTTCTAGCCTAGACAGGACAGAAAGTTTCAGACAGTGTGAGAGATTAAAAGGAAAACTAACCAAACGAAAAAGCCATACCCTTTTTGACTTCCCAGAGACTTTATTCTGGAGTCTGCTACAGTTGGCACTGATTTGGTAATTAATGCTTTTAATTGTTTTTCCACTTTGAAGAAGAGGATGGGCTTCTGCCAAGGTGATGACACAGATTCTGCAAAAGGAAATGTAATTATTATGCTGTAGTTGTCAGAAGCCATGCTCTAAGCAAGCTCCACACCATTCTCTGCCTCTACTGGTGGGATTTGAAATGATACTGCTTCATCTGGGCTCCTACTCCAAACTCCTAGCCAGACTTTTAAGTGTTGTGAAGGCTGTTATCTGCCTTCACTCCTTATAGCACAATATTCTTCCCTTTACAGTTTAGCAGAAAAGTTAAGCTGATAGCTCAGACTACTGCAGTGTGAGCCACAGGACAGGCACCTACCAGGCTCAGGGTGGAAGCAAGGACAGACAGGTCAGGCGGACAGCATGAGGATCATGTAGGGTAACTTAGATCACAATTTATCTGAGCTAATAAAGGAGAACAGAGGATAACTGTTCGCTGTAGACCGGAGACAAATTTTAAATTCCCCCCCATACAAAAATGTCATATACAGGATCAAATCAGACTCACTCTCTTCAGGGCATCTTCAACATCTGCTGTACCAAAGCAAATGAAAGTTGCATTCTGACCTAACACAACCCCCACAGAAGGTGCTTTATTCCACGATACCAGACTTGATGATCAAAAGCTATACACTTCTTTGTTAAACAGAACCACACCTTTTAATTTAAAACAGCTAAAGCCGTTCTATCCTGTGTTATACCGCACAGGAGCATAATGGTTCACTTGTCTGCTGATGGCTGAAGTATATTCGCTGAAGATGATCAAGTAAAGCACAGTATGCTTTTGTCAGAAAATGTAACCCAAGGCAATGTTTCCTCAGAACAGCTAAAGACCGTTAGTGGTGAATAGTTACAGCAGATGTATCCTTTGGCGATCTGGGCTTTACTTAACCTGCTGCTTGCATTTTATCTTTTTCTAAAGGAGGGTCCTTTCTTGACATGAAACTGGAGATGTTGAAACAAGCCCAGCTGTAAAGACTCAGTCCACCTTCATACCTGCGCCAGAACCATGCTGAATTCAGAAACCTGAAAAGCTCAGAACTTGCCAGTAAACGAAGAGAGGTGAAGTTATTCTGTTTAAGAAGAGTTTGAAACCTAGAGCAAGAATCAGAATTAACAGAATGCTAACTGTAGAGAAAACCACAGCACAGAGAACCAGGTCTTTCCCTGTGGATGGTGCATCCATCTCCTTGCACTCCTCTTTGCAAGTTCTTGCTGCGCAGCTTCCCCACAAGAGGGAGCTGGGTCCTGACGAATCCTTTTAGCATGCCCCGCAGCTCAAAGGGACCAGAGCAGCTACCTCCTCCCGACCCCAGCCTCTTCCGAGGGTAGGATGACAAAACACCTATTTGAGCTGTCACCTATTAGAGCTGAGACCTGGCAAAACAAAAAATCAACAGCGAATTTTACACTGCTTAGAAAACACAGACTGAGCCACAGCTCCACGTGTAATAATGGTGAAATACTTCATAGAGCATTTGGCTAAGCTGTTGTAGAAGCCAAGGGCCTCGATATTTCAGAATTCAAATTGGCAAAATAATCCTTACAGACATTTGAACAAATGTTTTTATTTTTATTTCCCCCATATCAACAGGACTTAAACTGTTGTTTATACTGGACAACTGAGACATACTGAGTACATAGTGCAAATGTTAGCGTGTTCTTTCTTGCTGCTGCTGTCAGGCCTGTTATTCCCAGGTTGGGTTTCTGTTCCCAAAGAACAAGAAAGCAAGCTGCAAAAAGCAGCTACAGAGAAGCTCCAGCTCTGAAGGCCACAGCAAGGCGACAGTTCTGCCCTGTGCCAAGAACACCCCAATCCTCCAAATTCTTCAACAGAAGCAAGAAATCCCCTGGGAATGACTGACGCCTCCCCATTGTCCCTCAACACATGAGCAATGGCACTGACAGTTTTTGCACAGACAGTAGTTCTGTTCTTCCCTTAGGGACTCGACACCCGAGAAACATGCCGCCACCACCCACCCTGCACTGAGGATAAGCTTCAGCAGCAGCAGGGCAGGAGCTGGGGACTGTTAGAGCCTACGACAGGTACAGAGTTGATTTATTCCAAATGACTGGATATCCAGCTACATCGGAGTGGAAACTGTTTGATTGACACTTTTATTTCCTACCTTGCATTCACTGTCTGGGGCACACAAACGTGTAATTAAAAGGAATTTAGATGCATATAGAAAAAGCTGAACGTTCAAACGGAGGTAATTAGTTTCCTAGAAGGCAAGTTATTACACACACTTCTAAACGTCGTTACAGAGAAGCCCTTGAAATGCTGCATGTCTGTGACTGAGGACGATGCAGGAGGGGATGCAACACTACAGATACTGCCGGGGCCTTTATAAACATCTGCTGAGCAACATGGTGTGTGGGGAGAAAGTTCAAGTTCCTCTGTTCTTATTGGAGTCGTAACTGAAAAGGGATATAGGAAGGCTAAGATAAACCCAGGCTCGCCCGTATTTCGCACCTGCCCCGCTCCTCCAGGCGTTCCGGCAGGAGCGATGCCCCTTGGTTTAACAACCCCGCGGCCAAAAAGCAGCAGTATCGGCTGCTCCCCACCAAGCGCCGAGAGGAAGAGCAGCGGGCGGGCAAGCTGGCGATGGCCCGGCCCCTCCGTACGCCGCCTGCACGGCCCGGAGCGGAAGAAAGCGGCGACTCCTTCGCTACAGAAAGACGGAGGCTTCCTAAACGCCAGAACGCGGCGGCTCTGGGCCGGCCGCAGGCACACACCCGTCCTGGGGAGCGGGCGGAGCGGCTGCCGAAGCACCCCAAGCCCCCGGGAGCGCCACTCGCCTGTTGGAGTGCTGTAGCACGCAGAAGTCCTCGCACGGCCGTCCCTTCACGTCTGCAACAGGGCAAAAACACCAGTCACCGCCCCGCTCCGGTCCCTCCCGGTCGATCCCCAGCTCCGCCCGGCGGTACCTGGCTTGTACCAGCGAGTAAAGTACCGTTCCGCACCGCCCCGCGACACCGCCATGGCGCCCGCCTTAGCACACCCCGCTGCGATGGCGGCGGTTCCGGCCCCGCCCAGACCCGGCCCCGGCACCTGAGTCCGTGGAGGGAGCGCGGCGCTATGGCAGCGCCCTTCGCTGGGCAGCACACGGGGACGTGGGGAAGGCGCTCTGGGAGAAGGCAGCCGGGTTTACTAACCGTGAGGAAGTAACATCTTACATATTTATTCTGAGGGGGCAAGTGGGAGATGCAACCGGCCAGAAGGTGAAAAGCCTGGAGCACAAGTCTGATGAGGAACGGCTGAGAGAACTGGGCTTGTTCGGCCTGTAGAGAAGAAGGATCAGGGGGCACCGTATTGCTCTTTACAACGGATGTAGTGAGGTGGGGGTCAGTCTCTTTGCCCAAGTAACAACTGAGGTAACAGCCTCAAGCTGTGCCAGAGGTTTAGATTGATTATTAGGAGAAACAGCTTCACAGAACAGGTGCTCAGGCATTGGACCAAGCTGATCAGGGATGGTGTGGAAGTAGCACCCTTTAAGGGTTCAAACCTGTAGATGAGGGCCTCAGTGATATAGTCTAGTGGCAGCTGAGGCAGTCCAGGGCTAATGGTTGGACTTCATGACCTTAAAAGGTCTTTCCCAACCTACCTGAGTCTATGGTCTTATGAAGTATAGCAGCAAGGAAAACTCAAAATCCAGCCTTTGGTTCAGTGGTTTATTTTCTCTAGTACACAGCAATACAGTCATAACTACAGTGCTCATATATGCACCAAAAAGGTATTTTAAATAAAAACATGTTTCATGAAAACAGCTTTTTGTTTCCTTGCTTTCAGCAAACACCCAGTTTTTCCACAGAAAACTGTAATGTTTCTCGTCACTCAGTTCAGGCAGGAGGAGAGCCTCTGTGGATTCCATGTTAAGCTTGACCATAGTTTATACAAACAAAACTGAGCTGCGTTCCCACAACAAAATCAGCATCACTCCCAGCACCTTGTCCACAAAGGGCCAAAGAAACCTCAACCCCACAGCCCAGGCAGGTGAGAACTTGGGCATCTCTGGTTTGGCTCTCACTGCACATAGTTACCTAGTTTCTGTACAAGCACATGCCAAAACCACCAGGAAAGCATGTAATTAAAAAAAAAAAAAAACCAAATAAAACAAAACAAAACAAAAAAAAACCAACAAAACAACACAATACCAAAACCAAACAAAAAAGACCAAAAAAATCCAAACAAAAAAGAATACCCCAAAGCCACCCAATTTTGATTCCAGCCCTATCTGCCTATTCTATTTCCCAGCATCTAGCACAGGGAGTAGATAAGGCAGCTATAACAGCATATAAAATTAAGGTCTGTACCATTATTAACAGATACACAAAACAGATAGCGAGGCACATGACACACTGTTGCAGAAAAAACAGATGCATAAAAGTAAAGAGCTGCCTAGAGGCTTTGCCCCACCAGTTTGCCGAACCAGGAGCATTTTCAATGCAAGTACACTGCAACAGATGCAGATTCTACTTTATAAGGCTGACAAAGGAAGAAAAACAAAAACAAAACTAAACCACAAAACAACTAAACTTCTGTCATCTCGCTGGCACAAACCTACAGGAGGTTTTAGTCTGGACAACTGTCCATCCCAGAACTCTCTCCATCAAAGACTGAAGATCACTGAATGGATGGGATATGCTTGTGTCCAGGCTATTGAGCCATTTCTGCTGACATGCTCTAAAGGCAATTTATTTGTCATGTTGTTACAGTAGCAATGTGTTTGGATATGCAGATATTTCAGTGTCAGCTGACTACATCAAAAGCTGGCCAGGAACCCAGTGAAACACTAACTGAAGTTAGTAGACTTATCTCCATTATTTAATCATCTAAAAATCTCTTGTGCAACCCTAGGCTACATGCCTTCTTTCTGCGTCATATCCAGCACACAAACAGAAGTCTGACGTACTAAGAAATATTCATGACCAAGGAGACAGAGCATACCTGACATCTAGAAAGAGCTGAAGGTGTAGAACAGAAGGCAAATGACCCATAGGCTAATGCACTTTGAATTTATGGTGGTTTACCAGACCATTGGTAAACACAGTGCCCAAACCCTACAAAACCAATTAGGATGCAGTGAGGTTGCACCTCAGACACTGTATCTCAGCAGAACAGAGCTGTGATGAGAGGTTTGGGAAGAAAGAGGGGTGAAAAGTCTTGCATTATTTTTTTGCCCAGGAACATATCTTGCTCATGAGGAGCAGCACCGGAGCACGAACTGAGGCACATGAGCTCCAAGGGAGACCAGCACCATGACACCAGCAAAGGTGAGACTCATTTAGACAGGTCAGGCACAAATCAAACCACTCCAAAGGGCAACGCATTCATCTGCAATGAAGAGACATCAGGGAGAAACCTCCAAGAAGAAAAGAAGCCACATTTTAAGAAATCTGGAATGAGGTGGGACTGCCAGGATGAGGGATCAGTATAGAAAAATGCAGTAGTCAAAGTATGAAAAATTCCATTTTTGACATGCTTTGTGTATGTATGTGTGTCGGCATGGTGGTTAGTGTGGCTGGTCTGTACTTACTTGTTTTTCTGAAGAAAGCAGCGATGTGTACATATCAGAAACAAAACCGCTTTTGATAAACCAAAGAGTATGGTATTCAAGCACCAGAGGCAGCAAAGGAAAGATGAATATCAACAGGGATGTTTTAGGCAGAGTTTGGCTACAACAGTCAAGAAGTTAACATAGCAGAGGTAAGGGCATAAATATCATAAGAATGTAGACTAAAAAAAAAAAAAATGAAATACAAGTTACTTTCTCTTCAGAGTTCAAACAAACAGTTTAAGAGCATAGAAGACAGAGAAACAATGAGTAGATATATAGATCTATCTCGATTTTTAGCATACTCACATCTACTACTAATTTATGCTCAGAAACATTAGAATACAATTGTTATAAGAGTAAAAAGAGTACCGGATGGGTGATCAAGGAGATGCTACAGAAACATAGCAGAGGTCTATTGTACCATGGCAATACTCTCTGCAAATGCAGAATTTATTTATTTTGCCATTGCCTTTTTAATCCTTCTCCTTCCTTCACTTACTTTCAAGGTAATTAAAGCATTAAGTTCAAACTACATACTTATGTATACACTTACAATTAACATGCAGCTTCCTTATATATGCTCCGAAAGCAATTTTCCTATTTTGGATTTCTCAGCTTTAGTCATTGCAAAGACCATAACTGTTTTGCAAGCACAGGTTTGTGTGCAATCACACTGAAATCATCAGCTCTCCTACTCTGCACAAGCTACTTCCCAAATTCAATCAATGCTTTAGTTAAGGAACCTGTTGTAGTAAATGACTGTTTGTCTTAGCCTGTAGCACTCCTCCCCTTGATATCAGACTTTAATATAACTTTGCCATTTCAGGCAGCATTAAGTGGGATATGGCACTACTTTAAGTCTTTTTGATAGAATCCACATATATTGGAGCCAGAGCTATGCTTTTACTGTCTAATAGCTGATCAGAAGGGATGGAAAAAGTAAACATTTTTTTTTTGGAGCAGAAACCAGCTAGAATAAGACACAAAGATTCCACAAGCTACTGAGAGAAGAACCACCACAAAAAGGATGAAGTTGACTCATCTGCCACACCGTGTAAACTAGGTGGATGCAGAAGAGGTATGTTTCTACCAATATAAACACGCACTACACGTTACATCTTTCTTGTTTTACGCTGCTGCGTTTTATGTCCACTGATTTTGATTGTGCCAAAATAAAAACTGTCATTTTACTACTTTAAACCAACAAAACCCTGAAGTAAAAAAGTTAAATATAATTACATGGAGTAAATAAATTTACTAAAAGCCAAATCACAACACAAATCTTAACCCTGCAGCCAATACTCCTTTAATAGCTTTGGCACCTTCATCATATTTTACTAAGTACAGCTTTCCACAGTACCATACACAACGCTAAATCCTAAATTAAAAAAGTAATAAAAAAACCCCAAACAAACAAAAAACCAACCTTACAGTGTTTGTTTCTATCAGGGGAGAAGGGATAACAACAGCACACCAATAAAAATATCTAGTCTATATCAACCGTACCTCTCCACTAGGGAATTTAATAGAAAAAAAGCCTACCACATATAATTTAACACCAAGCTCTCTTCCTGGCAAACAGGATTACAAGTTTATACTGAAAACAATCTTATGTTCAAATACAGAGATAAGCAGCATTATCCCAAAACCCAACAGAATCCCAGCATTCTGTAACAGGAAGTATCCCCAGCGGCTACATCCATGATCACTGGCATCATTGTGGAGCATTTCAGGTACCTAAACAAACAAGAAAGTGTTAAATGCTTTCAAAGTAAACAGTTACTTCAAACCCAGTTCTTCAGCTGTGAGGCATGAGGTAGCAGAGCCTCACTCCTCTAGTCTTTCCTGTTGATTACATTACTATTACTCCTTGAATTAAGTGTCACTCAACATGAACAATATTATCAGAGGCTACTTTCATATTTAGAGACAGAATCTGTAATGTTCCAATTACTGTTTTCATGGTAATCATGCTGATGTCCTAAGCCAGCCACTTACTCAGGATATGACTGTTTACCAACTGATTTAATCAAGCCACATAAAGAATTCTATTCTTAAGACAAAAGTTAAGCTTTGACGAATATCCACCAAGTACTTTGTACTTCTGTACAAGCATACTTCTGAGGTATAGTTTTTAATACAATTTGTCTTTCTGCCAATAAGCAGTAATAGTTTAGTGCAAAAGTTGAAGCAAATTTAGTGGTTCATAGTGTGCCACTTGCTTTCTTACTACCTGCTATACTAGCCACTGTCAGAAGCAATTTTTTATACTCCTGCTGTTAACTGCTTCTGTTTAACAACTAAGAAAGAAAATCTCTCTACCTACAAGTAAACTAAACAAAAGCTATCTTCCACCTGAACATGTAACTGAGCACTTATGCTGTGTACTAATCAGCATCTCCAAGTACATAAAAAGTTAATTGAGGGAAAAAGAGATGGAAGATTTTGAGCTCCAAATGTAATTAGCATTAATTCTTGAACTGTATTATATACAATTAAAGTAAGTCTAGACACTTACCATATCCACAAGAGCCACATACATGAACAAGCCAGCTGTAAGTGCAAATATCCACATGGAAACATTGTCTGCATAATGACCGATGAGGATCCCGGTTGCCATCCCAAGGTAGGCCAGCATAGCTGACAGAGCATTATAAAGCACAGCTTGCTTGACAGTCATACCAGCTTTTAGAAGTACAGCAAAATCTCCTAAAACAGGTACAAAACAAAGTTTTCATCCACAGGTAACTCCTGGTGTATTCATGAGTTCTCCTCTTACAAGATTACTAAGCTATTTTTACACTGCTGTCTGCCTTATTTTTTTTTTTCCCCATTTATAAAATCAGTAATCACTGGAGGACACAAAATTCAGACAAAGTAACTGAACTTAGATTTTTTTTAAAGTAAGATTAATTCAAATAACTAAAAGACTGCTTTATTTCTTAAAAGTACCTTTGAGTAGACAACCTGACACAAAGTTTCCTGATCAGATTTTACTGTGCTACAGAATAAAGTCACTTAAAATTCTCCAAAGTACACCTGTGAGTACCTATACCTACAGCATATGGAAATACTGGTTTCTTACCTAGCTCATGAGGTAATTCATGGCAAAACACAGCCACAGAAGTGCTTAAACCACTAGATAACCCTTCAGTAAAGGCTGCTCCTATAAAGAGACAAGAGGGGGAGAAAACAATAAGAACATTACTGCATATTCAGACATCAAGTGCCATTTGCTTGTATTAGATTAGGACATTAATTTCATTCAATTTTTATTTATGCTTATGGAAGCATTTAAACTTAGCTGAACAGTTGTTGTTTAGGATTCATAAGTTTCAAAATCCTCCTTCAGAATCATCCACTTGAAGTAAAGCAAATTTCATTATCTTATTTCTGACCTAAGCCCAACACCCCTTAATATCACAACCCTTTCAAAAAAAAAAAAAAAAAGGCAATAAATGGAAATGCTGTCAGAAAAGACTTTTTTAAGGAAACGAAGAGAAGGCAGCAGCTCAACTGCCTCTAAGAGTCAGGCACCAGAAAGAGGGAAGCCAACCGCAAGAATGGCTACACAGTCACATGAAATCAGGAGTGGAAGATTGTGAATTCTAGGCAGCTTGCACATAAGTGAACTATCATACTTTAAATGGAGGAAAAAAGCCCATACAAGAAACCCTTAAACTAGTCCAAGTAGTTTTTCTTGTTTTCTCCACTCCTGTTGCTTACTATTTTTCTCAGGAGGAAGCAGCAGCACACAGTAGGGGTGAAGAGCTGAGACATATCTCATACAGGACAAGAGGTCACCAGCTGCATGGAGGGCCTCTCCAATGGGTGCAGCGAAACTGTGTCCAGCTTCCTCTTCATCCACTACCAGAAGCATGCCAGCAAACGGTGCTACCAGTACGCAAAGAGGCTCAAGGCCATCTCATACATAGTTGGCACACATGAGACCCACTAGTACTGCTCACAGAGGAAGAGCTACAATGGCAGCAAGACCAGAGCAGACAATCCCCTCAATTTGCTAAGGTCACCACCCACAAGTAGTCCAGCAGTCTATCCAGATGTAAATCCTGGGGGTTTACATTGCTATCCAGGTTTCATCTGGAAGAAATGACTGGTGCTCCTCCATGCAGTAATAACAGCAGCAGTGAAGGAGCTACAGGCATCTCTGGATGAGGGATAATGAACAGGGTACTGAGACAGTGTTTAGAAGGGATTCTACAGAGCCCAGAGTCTCAGACTAAAGATGAAAGCAGGACCAAAGCAGCACTCAAAAAGGAAACATGACCACCTGGAACAGTAACATTTCAAAAAGAGTAAAGCCTGGCAACAGGGAGAACCATCTGTCCCAATCTGTAGCAGGTAATCTAAACAACAGAAATAGCAATTTTTTCACTGCTAAAAAGATGTCTTGAAACACTGACAACTTGAAATATATATCTGGTATTATCCCCTCTGGAGAAACTGATTTAATAGTATCTTAAAATACACTTTTAAGACAACAGTTCTCTCAAAAAAACCAAAAACTGAAGAAATATATATACATAAGGGTAGTGTTCTGCTGTTTAGTTATTTATTGAAGCTAGACAGCAAAGTCTGAATCACAAAAGATAGTTTCTGACAAATTAGTCAGATGCAGCCATTCCATGCTTTAATAGAGAAATAAGCACTTTTAAATCTCATTCCTACATTATTAGCACAAGATATTTGAGGAAAAAAAATACAAATGAGGGAAGTTATGGATAACAAATCACATGAAATTAGTGAACTGAAGGATTACTCTGGATAAAGCTATCTTCACAGGAGCATTCACATCTTAATTTAAATACAGGTAAAATACTATACAAGTAGCATTGGCATTTTCAGATCATTTTGATGTTGTGAACATATCCAGAACTGAAAGAAACCCACTTCCATTAGCCTGAACAAGCTACACAGCAGGACGTCTAAAAGCCGTAGTTCACACTTGTTCAATAAGCCTTTGTTACCCCTCCTCATACTTTTCCCTTTGTAACTATAAAGTCATAGCTCCTTCCCATATCTACCTAATGCTAGGAGGTAACTGACTGTGTGTCATTTGTATGCAAATTCTCCTCCTCCCACCACATTTTCACTACTGATTAGCCAATAAATTTACATTTCATGCTGCAACTTTCATCAGAAATAAGATTAAATCAGAAAGTCACTTTTTACACTTTACTTTGAATTGAGTGAGTCTGAACAACTTCAAATACTGCTGTGAGAGAAAATAATTGTTACCGGGGTTTCTCCTCAAACAAGAATGAACTTGTTCCTACAATAAAAGTTACAGGAAAAACTGATACTGATGAACTGACCTCGGATACAAGGTAGAAATGAATCCAATACTGGTAAAGATTGGTCTTATACACTAAAGTCAAGGTTATGAAGGACTAGCATAAGAACTGAAGATGACTGGTTTGACTTCATTTTCTGTAACTTACTTTAGCATTTTCAATGTAAAATACCTGTAGTCTAGCTCTCTTAGAAAAAACAAGGGAATTTTCAAACCCAACTTCTCACACAGAAGCCCAAAACATAATATTCAATGTTATTTTTGTGATAAAGAAATATTTTCATTGAAGCATTGTCAAAAAAGACTGAATTACAACATGCAAGGGGAAATATAGGGACAATAATAAAAAAGTCTGTTTAGAAGTAAAATAATTTAGTTTACAGTCATTTATGTTAAAAAATAATTTTTATTAGTTTATACTAGTTTAAATTAAAAGAAAAAAATCAAAATACCAAACACCTCAACTTTAAGAGCAAGATTTTGAGTACAGATTTTTAAAATACCATTTTTTTTAAAATACTTTTCCAAGAGACTGAGCCTGTTTTGAGACAGAACAGCACACTGAGCACCTGAAGCAATCTACTTATGCTACACTCTAATTGATACAGACCCTCTTAATCAAAAAATCTGCATAAAGGCAACATATAATGACTTTATTGGTATCTCCTCCATGATTCAATTTCTGACAGGTAATAGCTAATTTCTGCCCTAATTAATGGCCTACTCTCACATTCATAGAATACAAAAAGCAGCACAGACCTTCTCTGAAGGTTAGTACAAGCACAAGAACTGCAATGCTGCTCTTCAGTAGATAGCAATATCTGAAAATATGGACGTGACTGGACTCCTATGCAAAGCATAAAAGCACTTTGGAGAACACTATGCCTTGGACCAAATTCATTTTACAGTAAAAATGAATGTACACGTCCCTATCACAGCACAAAAATCACACATATGTAGCCTAATCTCCTGGACAGATCTTCAGACTAAAGCAGGTTGAAACCAGGGTCCCACCTCCCTACTCACAAGTGGCCTGGGGAAACTTAAATGCAATGCACTCACAGCCCAGAAAGCCAACCACACCCTGGGCTGCATCAAAAGGAGCATGACCAGCAGGTCAAAGAAGTTGCAAGACCCAACTTGGAGTATTGTGTACAGTTCTGGTGCCCTCAACAGAGAAGATCATGGAGCTGCTGGAGCAAGTAGAGGATAAGGAGGCTTGAGCACCTCCCATATAAAGACAGGCTTAGAAAATTGGGGCTGTGCAGAGACTTAATAGCAGCCTTCCAGTATCTGAAGGGGCCTAACAAAGATGCCAGAGAGAGATTTTTTCATGAGGGACTGCGGCAATGGGACAAGGGGAGATGGGTCAAAACTTAAGCAGGGGAAGTTTAGGTTAGATATAAAGAAGAAGTTCTTTACTGTCAGGGTGGGGAGGAACTGGAACAGGCTGCCCAAAGAAGTGGTAAATCATATGCCCCACCCCTGGCAGTGTTCAAGGCCAGGCTGGAGAGGGCCTTGAACAACATGGTCTAAATGGGAGGTGTCCCTGCCTATGGCAGAGGGGTTGGAACCAGATGATCTTAAGGTCCTTTCCAACCCAAACCATTCTGTGATTCTGTAAGCAGTGCCTGTCACAGGCAAAGCCACACATGCAAAGTATGGAACCTGACTTTGCTATGTAACAAGTGAAGATGGAAGAGAAAGAAATAAAGGAAGCCAATGATACGAGTGGCCTGACTGAAGTGGAAAAAACACAGTTACCTTATATGTAACTAAGATGACAAGCTTGTCTTACAAAAAAAAAAAAATTTAAAATTGCTGAGCACTTACAGACACTGAAATAAAATCAGCTCTAAGTCCTAAATACTTTTTATAAGCCTAGCTTTAGTTTTGAAAAAACATTAGCTTTAACTGCTAAAAGCAGGAAATACAGCATAGTCTTCCTAAAGAAACATAGCTGTAAGCACATAACTTGTTTCATCTGCCACTGATACACAGGTTGTTAAACTGGAGATTTTTCTTACTCATTCACAGCTGCTATGAAGTATTAGCTCAGGCATTAAAGATCCACCCATAATTAGTGACATTCCTAAGAAAGAGATAAGTAACAGCAAGAAGACTTTAATGTCTTTACATACAAAAAAGCTACAGTATCCAAGCCCACACTTACCAATTGCTAGGCCATCACTAAAATTATGTAGTCCGTCTCCCATAATCACCATCCATGCCAGAGTTGCTATTCCCGCATCCTTCAGTTCTTCACGTGAGTAGCGCTGACTGTGACTGTGGGGATGATGGTTCTGATGATGATGGTGATGTAGAATGTGATGGTAGTCATGGTGATGATGACTAAGATGATCTGTCTGTCCCAGAGTATCATGTAAATGAGAATGACATTTGTTTCTACAGCCCCTGGACACATATTCATTTTCAGCCTCTTCTTGATGAGAATGAGCTATCATCACTTCTTCTTCTTCTTGCACGGCTGGCTGCTGAGAAATGAATGTTGATGGATCTTGAGAGTCTGTCCCCAGGTAGCCCTCAGGCCCTGTTACAAAAACCCAGAGTAAAATATTACACATTTTTTAAATCACCTAGGAAGCAAAGATACAGCAAGTTGACAAAGCAATGTAGTAAAGAAAAAACTAGTAAGTCTAGAAGCTGAGACATGGAAATATTCAAGGCCAACTCAGATGGGGCTTCATGCAGCGTGGTCTAGTGTCCCTTCCGCTAGTTGGAAATAGATGAGCTTTTATGTCCCTTCCCATCCAAAGCATTCTGTGATACACCAGCTTCTTACACCAGAAGCTTCTCCCTCCTCACACCCCCCCTGCCCCCAAGGGTTTCCACAGGTTTTTTTTTTCCATTAAATTTCTGAGATAATTCCCAATAGTTCAAAATAATAAAAAACTTAGTTTTTATCCCTACTACTGAAGCAGTCCCTACATTTAGGAGGGCACAAATGCCTCCTAAAAAGGTAGAAAAAGCTTTTACTTTCAAACTCTGTGCAATTTAAGCACAACAGCATACAGCTCTACATCTCAGTTTCACAGCATGAAGGCTGTTAATTTAACTGTGTCAGAATGACAAACTGCTGTCTGGAAAGCATATGCCATTTGTTCATCTTAGTGCTGAAGAGTAAGAATGCCGAAAAGGATTACATTATAGATCATTTTGGAAACTCCTGTAATTGACGTAATACAGGAGCTTACATTTGAACACCTAAAAATAAACACCCAAAAATAAAGCCATCACCACAGACCAGGAAACATCCTCACATAAACATTAGTGACACACTAAGGATAGTTATTTTAACTAACTCCTAAAAGTTGCTAAATTCTTTCCTTGCGATTAAATGAACAAACACTTCCCCCCCACACCTTGCACTACTGACAACTCTTTCTTTAGTTATAAAATTATTCTGAAAAACTGAACACACCTTTAAGCCACAAGAGCTAACAAGTATCTAGTGAGATGTGCTTTGGCTCACACTATGATTTTGGGGAAAATGATCATTTGCAGTCCCAAATACTTCAAGTAACCTCTAAGATTTTAGACTATTCCAAGTCATAAATACTCAAACTAACAAAACCCAGACTTAAGATATACAGAAGTCTAAATAATGGAACACATATATAACATCTAAGTCTGTACCAGCAGGTACAGCCGTATTTGCAACAGGCATAGCCAGAACTGCTTCAGAAATAACTTTATCTTCTGCTATTAAATCCAAAACTAAAAGGCTTAAGGTTTCAAAACTCTGAATTCACTGCTTCCAACCTGTCAATCCTTTCTAAAGGGAAGCAGCAAACAGAACTAGTCCTTTACATAGGAACGCACAAACAGGTCTTGTATTAAAAAGAACTCAAGTAGGTAGTGACCCAAACCATGGTAAGAAACAACTCTATGAGATGCCATGGATCAGGCATTTTTTTTTTTTAAACAGCATTGCCACAAAACAACAACTGTTCAATATCACCGAGACTTACGATCATCTGCGTCTAACTTTTCTTCATTCGCTGAAAACTTCTTATTTTCTCCATCATCTTCATTTTTTTTCTTATTCCAAAAGAAAATACCGTAGTTATGAATATTTTACTTATTTTTCAGGATATACATGAGTAACATGACATTCACAACATTTATGCAGCCTGCACAGAAAGAGGACAACATGGAAGCCATATAAAGAGTACAGAAGAGGAACATCAGAAACTCAGCTAAGTACAGTAAGATGAAAAAGGTTCCTCAGGCTCCATAGGAGGGGCAAAAAAACCACGAAACCCACACATTTTTGAAAAAGGAATAAAGCAGACAGGTTCATCTGAAAAGCAGAACACATCAAATACTGAGTAAGAATCATTCCACTTACTCATTTCCAGTGTAACATCAGTATGGTTTCTTCTAATGCACTGGAGGAAAACCAACTAAAATCTCTAATCATTGCTCACTGATGTCTATATCACAACAATTTGTGATCAGTGACTCCATATCTAGAAGGGCATACTTAGTCTAACAGGAAGTCTATTGCCAGTGGCTGAGAGGACCCTGAAAGTATTTGCTTTGCTTGGAGCTTGCCATGACCTCTCCCGGCAACTACATTTAACTAGACAGGAAAACAATCCTCTCACTCGCAGTTAGGTTAGGTTCAGTACAAACCACACCAACACAACTTCCCATGACCAAAGTCCAAGAGTTTACATGGTATCTGTCCTGAGACTGTTACCTTAGTGACTGATTTAATAATAAATCCAGACATTATCAGTCATTGTGGTAGCACAGAAAATAGCTATTTTTAAACCAAGTAGTTAGGACTTTACTAACTTTCTTCAAGCAAAATTTAATATATCACCAACTTTTACTGTATCATTTTATACTGAGTCAGCTTTTACATAATTGTTTATTCCTGGCTACACATTAAAGACATCAGTTACCAGTAATAGGTAAGTTACCAGCACTTACAACCTGCCAAAATTCTTATAATTTACCTTCCACATAAAAAAAAAAAAAAACAAAAACAGAAACCAGCATAGTAATCTAAAGGCTACGTTGTTCTTTGGTTTTGGGAGTTTGTTTGGTCAGTTTCTGTTGGGTTTGTTTGTTTTTTTTTTTTTTTGTTTGTTTGTTTGTTTTGGGGGGGTGAAGAAGGGAAAAAAACAAGAGGCTGGACAGGCTGTATTTCCAGAAGGAACACTATCTAACGAAGTCACTTTCTACAGTGTAGTTGGATGCCAATTTATGCATGCACTTACTGCCAACCCTTACACCCCTTTTGTGCAAGTGCCTCCCTCAACAACAGTACAATAACTGTATGAGTCTATCTTACTTCATCCCGTATGAGAATTAAAATAATAAAAACAATTCAAGTAGTTGTGCAATTGCCTTGAGATGTCAGAACTCAATAATGAACCATAACTTCCAAAATCACTACTAAAACAGAGGATGCAAATGGATATTTGCTCAAACAATTCACTCTGGTGTCAAGCCTGTACTATATGTCTGGTTAAGGAAATAGCTCAAGAGCTCTTCCATAACAGGACCACACAAAAAGTTATTGCATAAAGTATGTGTGTCACCAGTATAAATGAAATTACAACACTAATCAAGTCAGCAATTACTATTAAATCAGAGATCTATGGTATTCATAAATGATTTTTTGTAAGCGTATTCAGAAATCATGCAATGCACTATAGCTTCAAGTAAGAGTTTCTGTACCTTTTTCTTCTTGTCTTTAAACTGTTTTATTAAAGTGATCAAATGCTCCACTAGAAACATGAAATATAATCCTCCAAGTGCTGTAAGTCCCTTCCATGTAGAATCCAGGTTGGCACTCTCCTCTATACTTTGAGAAGCAAGATGTTTGAACATAGAGCTTTTGTTTTGTTCAAGCAGAGTTTTTTCATGGTGATGGTGATGGTTGCCATGAGACTAAGGGGAGAACCAAATGGGTAAGTCATTATACTCAAAAGAACTGATAACATAAGAAATACAAGATATTCTTCACATTCTTTTTCCCAAGTCAAGTCCAGACTTGCCAATTTTCATTGGGCAAATACTCTGGACAGAAACTCAAGTGATTACAAATAAGTCTGCTGATACAGAAAAAACACTGCAGAGATTGAGAGTAGGCCTGGTATTCACCCTTTCACGGAAGCTACAGGCATTCTGCTCAATACAAGATGTACAACTACCCCCACAGAAACTCGTGACATCATCAAGAAAACTGCATCTTAAGTACTCAGTTACAGCAACCACACCAATTACTTTCCCATCTAAGACAGCATACAGTTTCTGTATGAAGAACTTGCCAGTAGTTTCCTTCTTTAAAGGAACTCTGACATTCTTCCCCTCCTTACTGGCTACTGATAAGTTCACAATAAAAAAAATTTGGGGGCACCTCCCCCACTCATGTTTACATTTACACAGCCTCACACAGCAAAATGGAAAAAGAATCTAATGAATTACAGGCAGGTCTCAAACTACCTGCAGTCCTTTTTATCCATCTCAGACAAAAAGCTCCAGCAATCAGGTAAGAGCTCCAAAGAAAAGTGGAAATTTAGCAATCATACTCCAATTTCATTGTCCACACATAACTTCAAAATCCACCAAGAAACGTTTTCTTTGGATTTCAGCCATGTTTTATTCTAACCAAAAAATTGCAGTGAATAAGCAATCAAGATAAGTGGGTGATAACAGAAAACAACGGATTATCTATTGCGCATTAAAATGTACAGTGAGCAATATCTGGTATCTATGAAGTTCATTAAACTGGAAAAATAAAATAGGCATTACAGTAAGTGACTAAACACATGCAAAATCCTTGCATGCAAGGAACAAGAGTGATTTAGCACCATATATGACTAAGAACAGCAAACACAGGAATAATGTGTGAAGTTCTTACACTATAAGGACTGCGAAATGAATAATACAGTTTCAAATGGGAGACCTTTCCATCAAATAATCTACTTTACAAGACCGGTAAGTGACTCACCAAATAGGCATTAATTAACAAGGATTAAAATTATCACTAAGGAGTACAGACAGGTGTCAAATTCTCTGCTTAGAGATAATGAACAAAACAGTAATTAATACTCACATGAGGAAGGAGGTGTAAGAAAGCATCTCCACTCAAAGTCCCCACAGCCAATGCCACAAGAAAACTTAGGAGAAATTTGAAAAACACTCGATTCATCAGTGGTACCAATATAACACCCAGCAAGGAAAGAAAACTGATGATGGAGATGGATATAAAGCCACCAATCCAAGCTGGTTTAAAAGAAAAAAGTAGTAAGAATAAATCACAGCTGTATGAGATTGCTTGTTTGACATTCCTGCTATCAAATACTCCTGACCATTCAATTAATCAGATGTTAACAAATTGTGTATCACAAAGATCTCTCTCTACGCATGGTCAAGTGCTAAAAGAAAATGACAAACTTTTTTCAACTCTGAAACATGTTTCTCAAATTTATAACCAACATTAATAAATTTTCAGCAAGCTTTTATTCCATTTCAAAAATAAAAAAAAATAAAATAAAACAAAACCAAACCAAACCCACAACCTACCTATTTGCAGAGAGTAACTTTTTGGAGGAGTTTCAGCTTTTTCACTAGTTGCATGGACTATGCAGTATTTGCCATCAATCTGATTAATAAGAGCTGGACAGAGGTAACTAAATTCTGTAGCAGTCAACAATACTTGAGTGCCTATTCCATGGGACTGCATCAATTTTGATGCACTGGAGCACTGTGGAAAGACGTGTATTAAAGATTAATCAGAACCAAAATACCCCGATATATCTGAAGAGCCTGTACACCCTATTTTAATTGAAATGCATCAGATGAAAACAGCTGTATCAATAGAAAGTAAACACTGGTAACAAAGCAATTTAGGAAGAACCATACCTCCACCCCACTCAGAAAGCTAGTTTGGGAGTCCTGGTATATGGGGCATAATTATCAGTCTTCCTCAAAACAAAGGGGTCAGATACTTTCCTGTGCAAGCAAAAAACGTCTAGCACTTTCAATCGAATTTCAGAGACCATATAAAGAAGTACTAAGAAGGTTAAATCCCTTTTTATAGAAGTGACAACCACAGGAAGTTTTGTACAGAACGTGATCTGCATGTGCTTCCTCCAGAGAAGTACAACCTACAGTCCTGCTGCATTTAAATAACAGGAGTACTGCTGCTCTGACTGTGAAGAATGCAGTAACCTTGTGAATACAGTGCCTACAACAACTACACAACACCCAGTGAATTACCTGTCATGGCTGCATACATTAAGACCCCAGAGAGACACTTGCTTTTGAAAGCATTTAATGGAGGAGGATCTGATAGTGTAAAAAAACTGCTTAAAGCACTATAGACCTTATCAGCAATACCGATTTTTAACATTTTAAAGTAATAGTTAACATTTTGCAGCCATCTGTTTCACAGTTGGTGTCTACATACTATCTTAAAGAAGATGGGGAGGGTGGAATTGAAGGAAGAAGGTGCCTATTACTTCCCTGCAGCTCTAACACTACCTACCATAGGATTATCTAGCACTTGTGAAGTAGCTTTGATAAGAATGACAGTATTTTAGCTAGATATTTTTTCACTTTCACCACATCATTAGGAAAAGACAACAGATTCTGGCTTTAAGGCAGAACAGCAAGTTTTAAATTCAAAGTGTTTTCACATTTAGTAGTATCAAAAAAGAATATATAAATATATAAAAGTGTATGTTTATATTTAATGTATGTACATATTTTTCAGAAAAATTAAAAACTAGATTGCTTATATATTTTCCTCTGAGTTCAGGAGCATAGCACAACATTCCTTCAAAACGTTAAGTTTCAAGGGAATCTGTATGCTTTTGGCTACAAGTACTGTTACACCACAAAACACTCACCCATTTAAACAGTAAGCACCATAATAAGCCATAATAACATTCCCAGTGGATCTGGATTCTCAAGAACACAAGACAATCAGCCTCACCTCTTGTGTGTTTTGGTTTTTCAGTTTAGAATACAGGTAACTCCCTTTTTCTGATTCCTTTGGAGAAGCATGAGATTCATTTGCTTTGCTGTTCACAGGTAAGCTTGCGTTGCTGCCGCCTGTGACATTAACCGTATTAGGACTGGACAGACCTAGACGAGCAGCAGGCTTCACTCCTCCAGGTTGCACATTCTGTAACTCAGAGTGGCCACCCGTGGTAGCAGGGACGAAGGGTGCCGTTCTTTCATTAACCACGTTCTTGCTGCGTACAAAGTTTTGCTGATGTTCTGAATTTTGTATTTTATGAGGCTCCTTTGAGTGACTGTTCCTGTGGTCTTTGTTAGCATCCGATTCGTGGTTTGGACAAACAGTCTTCTCTGAGATTTTACTCAACGGCACATGATTATGATGGTGATGGTCATGATCATGGTCATGCTCATGTTCTATTTTAATTCTTTTCATTTTATCTATACCTATGTTCTGGAGCAGTTTTTTAAATCCATCAATTGACAGCGAGTTGTTTTCTCCATAACGATGAAAGAGTTCTTGAAGGTGAAACTTCTGTATTAATCCTGCCAAATCAATATTAACACCAGCTGCCTTTTCTGGAAAAGTTCTCTCCATTGTATGCACAACAGTAACCATCTCCACTCCATGATGATAAATTTCACACATTAGTAGGGAAAACGATAGAAGGAAAGTGACTGACACTGTACTCTCCATTACAGTTTCTTCCTACCAAAAAAGAAACAAAAATAAAATTAAAAAAAAAAAACTTTAACAGTTTCCATAAAACCGATCACATCTTCCTCTGTAACAGATGTTCATAATTTGCTTAAACAAAAGAAACCTACAACTGACCAAAACAAACCCTACTCAAAGTATCAATGCAGTAAGCAAACAACTATTTAAATATCTTACACATTCATCACCTTTTCCCAGGTGCTGTGGCCTCAGGCAACAGGAAATGAAGCTGCATACCACAGAGAAGTCACTGGCCGTAAACACCCCCTAGGTGTGAACTTATCTTTGTTTAGCTTGGCCTGAGCCAGTCCTCTTAACACAAGCTAAACAAGGAGAGAACACCCTCAAGGGTGTGCCAACTGAGTTCTAGGTTAGGCTTTTCTTGTGGTAAAAACAAGCCTTATAATTTCTCTCTTCGTAACGAATAGATTGTACAAATTGTATGTTCACGCCTAAGAATCAAAATCCCCAACCTTTCATCTCTGAATTTCCCAGAGTTTTTGGCGGGGTGAGTTTTCAGCACTCCAGAAAAAAAAAGTGTTTATGTTGTCTGCGTGTTTTAACATTGGTGTCGATTCTACAGCTCCATTCAGCAGGCAGGCAGACCATAGCTGCAGAGCAAACGCAAGCATCAACACTTGTGTGTTTTATTCCATAATCACAGAATAGTTTGGGTCGGAAGGGACCTTAAAGAGCATCTTGTTCCAACCCCCCTGCCACAGGCAGAGACACCTTCCACTAGACCAGGCTGCTCAAAGCCCTGCCCAACCTGGCTTACTCCTAGCAAGACAATGGATTAAACGGTATTCAGGCCGCGTACGGACCACGTCTGAAAGCTGCCTCCACCCTTTCCTAAAGAGGCACGAAAAACAACGTAATGCAGACAACTTCTCGGTTTCCATCAAGCCTTTAACTACGCTTAAAATCCCAGCACTGCCACCGGGACCCGCAGGCCGCGCCAATACCCTCGGTCCCCGCCACAAATCTTACCGACAGGGGGGAAAGCACCAGAACCGTTCCCCCCACCCCCGCTCCCCTGACGCCGTGACCGCGCCCGGCCCGCCTCACCGCGGGAGGGGAGACCCCGGCCCGGCCCCGACGCTTCCCGGGCCGCTACCCACGACTTCCAGTGCACGGTGGGGCGGGACGAGCGCAGCCCCAGAACGATGCGGCGCTGGGCATGGCCCCGCTTACCCGGCGGCAATTCCACCGGCGCGGGGCGGCCCGGCACTACGCGGCTGCCGCCCCCTGCCCGGCCAGAAGACGCACCGGGCTGCCCCCCCGCCGCCCCGTGAGGACAAGAAGAGGGAGGTTACCTCAGCAGCCGCTATCCGTCAGCCCCCTTCCCCGCCGGTGACCCGCCACGCGCGCGACCCAGCCGCACCATGCCACCGCCCCCTTCTTTTCCTTTTCCGGGTGCGGCGGCAGTCACGCGCCTCTCCGGCTGCCAATGGGGAAGCGCGGTGGGTGTCACGTGGGTACGGCGGAGCGCGTGGTGGTTGCCGGGCTGCTTCGACGGTGGCTGGAGTTGTCCCCCGTCCCCTAAGGAGGGAAAGGGGAAGGAAAGGGAAGGGAGGGGGAAAAGAGGAAAGAGGTGAAGGAAAGGGAAGGAAAAGAATGTGAAAGGGAAGAGAAGGGAGAGCTTGGGAGGGCCCAGGAGGAACCAGTAAAAGGCCAGGTGGGTGAGAGTCAGGGGTCTGTGGGAGGGAGGTTGAATCCTGAGGGAGTAATTACTTCCCAAAGTACTGGAACCCGGGTTTAGCCTTTATCAGAATACAAAGGTTTGCTGGGATGTGTGAAATACTCCCAAGAGAGTTAAAGTTAACTGTGGGTGAGAGTTGGAGCAATCAATGCTCGTTGAAACCACAAGTCATTCTGGGCTTGCAGTGGTTTAGGTGAAGGCACTGGGTGTGGTAGCAGAGTCTTGTCAGTGTCTTGAGAGAGGACTCAGTCTTGGAAAGTGTATATGTGTGTGGGCAGGCAAGGACTGGAAGTGGACCGAGAGGTTGTAAAGGGGGTGCAGGTAAATGGCAGGCGATGCCAGTGTTAGATTACATGTACTAGGGTATTGCAGTGAGCGCTGTTTGGCTGAACCTGGCATTAATGATCTGGCAAAATAAAACTGCTCCATGGACAACTGGATGAAGAGGCAATCGGAAAGGACTGAGATCGCCTCAGAGGAGGTCTCAGAACTTGCTAGGAACATGTTGCTTTCTTCTGAGTAGGCATACTGTATTTTTCAAATCTGGCTCTGCTGTAACACTTCTGTTAACTGGTCATGACCCTGTAATTGTTGTATGTCCTAGGCACAGGCTCTTTGTGTTTCCTCTTTCTTCTACTGCTTCCAAAGTTTTACTTTCTACTATCACATCAGTTAAGATTGCTGCTACAGTGGCTACAGTTCTGCTTACACATCCCAGATGACTTTGGAATTTGGCCTCTTGTGTGATCAAAGTGTTCGGACTTGCTGGAGTGTGAAGGCAGTGATGAATCCTACCCTTCACAGTCACGACTAGTGTTGCCCAGGGATTCCTTAATTGCTTTGCTGAGTGTCTATCAGGGCAAGTGTTTTAAAGCTTACCAGTTTGGGACCAGTAAGGAGCTGGCTGTTCATGCAGTTTTAGTCTCTTTGAGTGCCGCTATGCAGAGAAGGTACCAGGGGTCACAGGGGCCCATGGCTCTGTAATACCAGCAGCTGAAGAGGCTGAAATGCATGGAGGTCTCAGTGCCACCAGCTGGACAAAGGGCTCATCGTCATAGGTGTCCCTGTGGAGTGGCAGCAACTTGCATATTGTATGCATGCATATTGTGTGGCTGTGGACATCGGTGTCAATAATTGCTAATGACCATTAAGCTGGACTAGCAGGCTAGTAAGGATAAGAGGCTTGGGAACCAAATACTGGATCATACGTAAGCCTGGGCTGCATGCTGGAGAGAGCAGAGCACACCGAGTACTGGCTGTGGGAGGGACCAGGAGGTCCAAGCCAGCTGTCAGAAGGACCCATGGGATCAGGGGACCAGCTGTGATACAGCCTTTGCACATGAAGTGACTGTCAGACCAGGGGATTCAGGGGCCAGGTACTAGATTGTTTAAGGCCAGTTACCAGAGAGAGTCATATGTGTCAATGTACATGTGTGCATGTGTACCAGGGTCCTGAGTGGCAGCAACCCGTGAGGGGCTACAGGCATCAGGGCCTTTGAAGTCCAGATGCCAGCAACTGGAGACACCAGAGGATCCATCAGCCAGTTACTGGACAGATGGAGTGTCTAAGACCATCTGCTGGAGGGATCTGCATTGTATCCATGCATGTGTCCCTTGCTAACAGGCTTTCATCCTAATCAGACAGGGAAACATGATGTGGCTGCTGGTGTTGTTAGTGATATGAGGGCTGTGTTTTCTGTCTGTGTATCTGTGTGTGTATAGTGCATGTGTATTGCGTGCATCTCCACTTCCTGAGAAAACATGCTCAGCCTTGCTACTGGCTGGATGCAGAGCAGTGGCAACTTGGCCTCTACTGGACAATGAAATTCAATGACCTCTAGTAATTGTTGTTGTTGGATATTGTGGTATTAGATCTAGACACAGAAAGGCTGAGTTTTCAGGAAGGAAAAGAATATAAGCAGCAGAAAAGAATACTAGAAAAGAATATGGAGAAAATGAGTAGAGGAAAAAAAAATGAGATAAACAGTCCAGGGAGGCTTATTCAGAACTGTAGAATAGTGTGCTTTGTTATATAGCAAGGTTATATATACACAGTTGCTGTGGTTTAAGCTCTGTCGGCAAGCCAACCACGCAGTCTATCCCCCTTCCTTCCCCCCCCCCTCCCAAGCTCCCGAAGGCATGGGAAGGAGAATCAAAAGAATGTAACTCCCATGGGTTGAGATAAGAACAGTTTAGTAACTAAGGTATAACACAAACCACTGCTGCTACCACCAATAACAGTAATGATAAGGGAAATAATGAGGGAAGAGAATACGATACCACCTGCCAAAATGAGCCCGACCAAGCAGAGTTCTCTTCCGGGTACCTCCCAGTTACATCCCGGGCATGACGTGCTGTGGTATGGAATACCTCTTTGGTCAGTTTGGGTCAGGTGTCCTGTCTCTGCTTCCTCACGGCTTCCCCTCCTCCTGGCAGAGCATGAGACTCACGAAGTCCTTGGTCAGTCTAAACATTTGAGCATGTTGTGGTTTAAACAAAGTCAGCCATAAGTCACGCAGTCGCTCTCTCACTTCCCCCTTTTTGCCCTCCCCCTGCTCCTGGAGGGATGGGAAGGAGAATCAAAAGAATGTAAATCCCATGGGTTGAGATAAGAACAGACCAGTAACTTAGGTATAACACGAACCACTGCTGCTACCACCAGTAATAATAATGATAAAGGAAATAACAAGGGAAGAGAATACAACACCTCACCACCCGCCGACTGATAACTCGCCACCCCACCCCGACCAAGCACCGACCAATACCTAGTCCAACCCCGCAGTCAACTAGCCCTTCCGGGTAACTCTCAGTTACATCCAGGGCATGACGTGCTGTGGTATGGAATACCTGTTTGGTCAGTTTGGGTCAGGTGTCCTGTCTCTGCTTCCTCCTGGCTTCCCCTCCTGCCTGGCAGAGCATGAGGCTCACAAAGTCCTTGGCTAGACCAAATACTTGAGCAGTAACTAAAAACATCGGTGCTATCAACACCATTCCCAGGCCGAAAGTCAAAACCACAGCGCTGCACCAGCTACTAAGAAGGAGAAAATATGACTGCTACTGCTGAACCTAGGACAGAGCAGTAACTAAAAACATCGGTGTTATCAGTGCTGTTCCCAGGCTGAAAGTCAAAAACAGCACTGCACCAGCTACTAAGGAGGAGAAAAAATGACTGCTACTGCTAAACCCAGGACAACAGAATATACAGTATACACAGTACAACAATATACAACAAGTTTATATGTTACTGTAAATGCCATTGGCTGGAAGATGCTGGAAGAAGAGAATATGGGCATTTATTCATGCATGGCATGCTTTTAAGTAGCAGAAGTTATTACATATCTTCACAGGGGAATCTACAACATAATTGCAAAGTATCCCAGGATGGAGATTCTGCTCCTTGGTGCCATAAGAATATAACAGTTAAGGTGTCTGGGTACAGTTTATCATCTGGAGCTTAGAGCTTTTATTTACCTATAAAAATTGGCAAAGAGAGTCTGCATCATAGAATATTTTACGTGTGTCTGAAACACAGGGGTAGCAATTTTTTTCATCAACACATTTTTGCTTAATTAGAAAAAAAATATATTTGGAAGAACACAGAAGTGGTGGCCTCCTCATTTGTCTGTTCCTTTTTTCCTCATTTGGTTGCATAACTAGAAGCCTGAATCTCAAATGTTCTGTCTTGGTTAGCAAAGGTGGGCTGCAAATCTTATTGGGGTAGCATTGGGCTTTTTGACACTCATTGTCTTTACTTCTTTACCTCAGCCAACACTCTCATACACTTGCAATGAGAAAATTCATGGTGAGTGAGGAATGATGTTTGTGGTAGGGACATACTCCCTCCACTTCTAGGTGCAGCATCCTGTAAAAGGGATGTTGCACTGCGATGAACTCTCTTGAGGCTCTTTTATTTGGGCTGAACCCAGCACTGGATTTATGGTGTGTCACCTCTCCCTTTGACACAGTCTGCTCCTTTTTTTGCACCCTGCTTTGCTTTGTCGTAATAGAAAAATAATGCCACTTTAGTTTGTGTATTTTGAAAATGACTGTAATAATGGAAGTCATAACTTCTTAATGTACTGTTGGGATAAACTTTCAGTGTTCATGATACTTTGCAAAGCTAGGACAGTTAAGGGCTGGATTCAAAAAATGTGTATGAGCACGGTATTTTTTGCTGTATTGTACGCTGTCTGCTGTATACAGAAGATAATTGGAAGGCATGCATTTAGGAAGTTGTCCTTCTAATTTCAAGTTTAAAATCAAAGTTTTCAAACCCAGAGGCCTTTGAAATCACTGAAGCTAATGGATACTCAGCATCTCAGAATCTAAAGCTAGTTATTTACAGTCTGATTCTAGAGTTCCTAGGTCATTTTGAAAGGTTGTCTTTAATGAATGATGTAAGCTTACATTCTGATCACTAAAGCTTTTATGATTGCAGTTAAGGTAGTATTTGAAGTAAACGTGTTCTGACACAAGGGCTAGATCACAGATGCAGATGTTTACTGTATAGTCTATG